TGCCAACAAAGGTGAGATGGCTCAGGACAGTCGAGCAACTTCTTTCTTTATTATGGCTAAAGATAATCAGACCATCAGAGGTTCTGAATACTTTATGTCAAAGGAAATTGTGCTTCCTTATACTTCAAATCAAGAGGAAAACCAATAAATGTATAAAGGGACATTGGAGTAAGTCTGATGATATGATTTGTCTTTCAGAGGAGCTAATGAAGAAAAGAAAATTAATTGACTATACACGGAGGTTTTTAAGTGGCCCACTTAATGTAGAATTAGATTATAATGTAACTTAGTAAATGGGGAAGTAGTTTTTGGAGGAGTGCAACAAATTCCTGCGGATGAAATTAGTTTTGCCTTAAGAATAACCTGGTTGGTTCAAAAATAGTGGCTTCACAGTGGATGTTGGAACATCTAATGGAAGTAACAGATATTGAGATGCCATATGATTAACATCCTGTACTGTGTCCTGACTATGTTGTGAGTACATATCACGAGTGATATCCCATAGAGTTAGTCAGAAAGAGGAAGAGTCCATACAAAGGAGAAGCAGCATGATCATTTTTTATTCTTATACTATTTTGAAAACTTAAGTTTAAAAAGAGGAAGGTAAAGAGAGTGAGGCTGACCTGCTTAGACTATTTGTTTTAATAGAAATTCAACAGATAGAACCTGAGTTGAGAAAGTTGTATCAAATGACGTACTTAGAAATTGAGTCAAAGCCAATACTTGAGTATTATTATTTAAAAGACAAAGTATCAATGAGGAAGTAGAGACCACCTGAAATACTAGGCAATGAATGTTGGTCGGTAGTCCATCAAGTGAGAGTTTCATCTGGGAATTGTCATGATATTTTACAAATGGCTAATGAAATTCCAAAGACAGGCCACTTGGGTATTAGGAAACCGCAGGCGAAAACACTAAAACGTTTTGCATAACTTTGTAGTTAAATTTGCCAGACATGCCGTGCATGTCAAGTAATCAGGAAACCCCAACCATAAATTAAACCTGCGCTCTTATTTCCAATATTTAACACTTAACGATGTCCTAATAGGTTGTGCAGCAACCCTACCTAAAACAAGAAGAGGAAATCAATATCTTTATACAACCATGGATGTTTTGATTAGAGTTCTTGAGGCAGTGTCTTTGGGGAAAATTATGATTGAACTGACTTTGTGCTACTGTTCTATCTTTTAAGATATGGATAACCCAAAGAAATATAATCAGCTCAAGCTTCAAATTTTATGTCACAAATATTCAAAGAAATAATGAATAGTCTTGGAGTGAAACAATTTGTGTCTTTAGCTTTTCATTAACAATCATAAGGAATATATGAAAGATGGCATCAAATTTAGAGACCACAATTAGAGCATATTGTCAAGAATGTGCCAAGGATGGGGACAAAGGAATTCCTTTGTCGCTGTTGCCATTAAGGATGCCCATATTGAGTCCACAGGTTACAGTCCCTTTTGAACTTGTATATAAGCATATCATAAGAGGACCCCTTAAATTAATTAAACCAAAAGTGAGACTGTGTTACTGACATATGCATCAAGTTTCAAGAAAAGCTAATCAAAATGTGTGAGTTTGCCAAAACATTAAAGAATGCTCAACAAACAATGAAAACTAGAGCGATCAAAAAGACCAAAGCTGGTGACAAAGTTTTAGTACTGTTAGCTGTCTCTAGGGAGCCATTAAAAGCTAAGCAAGTTAATTAAAAAATTAATTGTTAAATGTTCACTTGGTCTTAGCAATCCAAACAGGAACTCAATAATGTGAGTTTTCTGGTGCGTATTCCTTATGGGAGGAAAAGAACAGCATGTGTCATATTAATATAATAAAATAATATTATGACAAGGGGGATACAGAACAAAAGTGTATTTACAGCGGTGAACAAAGTCGAGAGTGAAATAAAAATATCAGAGCAATTTCAAAATTACTCAGATATTAATCATTCTAAAGGCAACCATCCAGTAATCAAATTGGATAATATCAATAATACAAGAGATGTTTAAAAAAAATTAGATGGCATAATATACTTTCTCCCAGAAAATTATTGAGGCAACTTATAAAAGCTATTAGAGACTCGTAGGTCAGGGAAAATTCCTTTAGTCAAATATGATGTTGATGTAGTTGATGCATCACCAAGAAAGTAATATTCTTACCTACTGATACTCACAAGAAGATAGCCCAAGTGATGGGAGAGTTCAAGATCATGATGGAAGTGACGTTGTTGAACCAAGTTGTGATAATTGGAGCTCACCTATCGTGATGATGCTGAAATCAGACTGAATTTTACAAAGTCAGTGCAGTAACAAGGGAGATTTAATCCAATTCCATGATTGTAGGACTGCTAAAGAAAGGATTGAATAAGCACGGTACATTACAAAAATTGACTTTTTAAAGGCATATTGGTAAGTTGAAATCATGACATTGAGAATAAAAAATACACCAGCAACTTTTTTATATTAACCAACAAGGTCATTGAAGGATTGTGTTGTATGTATGGACACTTTGATCAGGCAAACACAAATATTTGCAACACTTGATCAAATTGTTTGATTGGTTATAAAGAGCCAATTTAGTCATAAACTTGGCTAAAAGAAAATTTGCCAAAGTAAAAGTAATTTATTTAAGGTACACTGTGAAACAAGACCAAATAGCACCTACAGAAGCAAAAATAAGGACTATCGTAGAGTTTCCCATGCCTAAGAAATAACAAGAAATTTTGTGTTATATCGATGAGTGGATTTTATCGGAAGCTTGTTCTAAATTTCAGCACTCTAGTCGCTCCTCTGTAAAGTTTGTTTGCAAAAGAGAATTTGAATAGACAAATAATGTCTGAGTGCCTTTGACAGCTTGAAAGTTGTACTGAATACTGTACCTCCTTGCTGCTTTTTTCAAAATATTGAATCAAGTTAGTCAAGCATCATCCTCCCTAAATTCATGACTATCCCTGATTAATTTGTGCCTTTCCAAGTGACAATTTAATCTGGCCCTCAGAATTGATTCCATTAATTTGCCCACGACTGAAGTTAGATCAACTCGCCTGTAACCATTGGTCTATCCCTCGCTGTCTGATTAAACAAAAATAAAGCATTAGCAATCCGATCCTCACCAATGAGGATTGAAAAAATGATGGTGAGATCTTCTGCTATTTTACCCCTGGCTTCTTTTATTGGATTGGGGTACATTACATCTGCCTCTGGTTATTTATCCACTTTCAAGGATCCTAACCCCATTAGTAATGCCTCTCTTCCTAAGTTTATCACTTCCAATAATTCACATTTCTTTTCTTTAACTGCAATATTCCTGCCATCCCCACCTTTTGTGAAGAAAATGCAAAGTGTTCATTAAGAGCCATACCAACATCTTCTGCTTCCACAATGACGGTATCTTTCTGGTCTTTTATGAGTTCTACTCTTTCCTTAATTATCCTCTTACTCCTAATGTGTTGATAAAACATCTGTGGGTTCACACTGATTTTGCCTGCCAATATTCTTTGTACTCTCTTTGCTTTCCCAATTGCCTTTTTGATTACATCCTCCACTTTCTATACTCTTGGTTTTTCTGTAGTATTGAGTCCTTGATATTAGACATTAGCTTTCCTTTTCTGCTTATATTACCCTCTAAGCTCCTTGACATCAAGGGGACTCTAGATTTGGCCATTCAGTCTTTACCATTGTGGAAACACTCTTCCTTTGAATCCTTGAATCTCCCCTTTGAGTATTTCCCATTTATCTTCATTTAACTGTTTCCAGTACATTTCTACTAAAACAATCTTCAGCTTAGTACAATTGGCCATGCTTTAATTTAGAACTCTGACTGATGTCCTGTCTGTCCATTTCCACAATTAAGTTTAAAAGACGGAATTATGATTGCTACCACTAAAATACCCTGCCACGGACACCTGGCCAGCTTCATTTCCTAAAATTTAAGTACAGAGTTGCACCCACGCTTGTTACACTTGGTATGTATTGGTCATAAGCGATCTCCTGTAAGCACCTCAAGAATTCTGTTTCCTCAATTCCTTTCGTACTAAAACTCCCCCAGTTAATACTGAGGTGGTTTAAATTCCCTCCTATTACTATTCTTTTGTTTTGCACTTCTCAGACATTTGCTTATGTACTTGCCCTCCTATCTCCCTCTGACTGTTTGGGGGCCTGTAGTACACTCCCAGCAATGAGACTAACCCCCTTTTTTGTTCCTTTAGCTCAATTCATATGACCTCATTGATGATCCTTTTAATATATTATCCCTTCTCACAACTATAATTGTTTCTTTCACCAAAATGATCAGCCCCCACCCCTTTTTATCTGAAAACCCTGCAACCTGGAATGTTGCACTGCCATTCCTGTCTATCCTTAAGCCATCTTTATAATAAGTGATATCATACTGCCACATTTCTATTTGAACTGTCAGCTTGTCAGCTGCCTCCTGATCAATTTAAATTATAAAAATTGGACTGCAATAGAGGAAAGTTATAGAACTAACGGGGATAGCTGTGGATCAGATTGAAAATAGGAGCTGTGACTAAATGTGCTTGTTTATGAGAAGCTCCTAGCTGACAGCCATCAAATAAACCTACTGACAAGATTTCCTGTGATTAAAAACTTTGTACCACGAACACTCATTAATCCTCTATTACTATTAATAAAGCCCAATGTTAGCAGGATTTTTGTTTGGATCTCTCCAAATGCATCAAATGATTATTCAGTTACAGACCTTTCAAAATCAAAGCTGCAAATTTCAGAATCACTTTAAGTACTATTCCACTTGACCATTGTTCCCAGCTTGTTCCTACTTAATATAGCTTCAGCAGATTACTGGGATATCAATTCTGCCAGATTACAGAAGATTGTTCAGGGTTACTCAATGTATCTGGTCAATGCTTTCAGAAGTTATTGCTTAGGAAAGGGTTTGGAGAGTAACATTGAATTGATTGATGGAAGGTGTTCAGTAGTAGACCATCAAATTTACTAATGGAATTCACTCCTCCTTAATAGAAGCTGGCATGCCTAGTTCCCTTCTATGGGCTGTGGATGTACATGGGAGAGTTTATAGCCTCTCTACAGCTGGACAGTACTGGGAGTTGTGCAAAGATGAAAGCTTACAATTTAAGAGACTGGCAGCTGTTAAGCAGTGCTGCTGGGGAATTGCATGCGACCATCAGATCTATGTCTACGTCCATTCAAGTGAAGTCCCAATCCATTACCAAGAAGAGACCTATGAAAATCAGGTATGGAGACAAAATTATCCAGCTTTTTTTGTTCATGCTGGTAATTTTCTGTTGTTATTTGTTTTATCTTTTTATGATACAGTGCCTATGACTTGCCTTCTGAATGCTCTCCGTGCTACTCGTTGCCTGACATGAAGGCAAATGCACAACATTGTACCAAGACACACATTTATATATGATATTTCTGAAATGTCACAAACTTCTTCAAATGTAATAACTTGTTTTGAAGTACATTCATAGTTGTAATATAGTTGTTTTTTTCACACAGCAAGATCCTATAACAACAGTGAGATGAAAGATTAGTTCATCAATTTTATATTTGAAAATGTCCGTGGTAGAAGGAAAATTGGTCAGGGCTTTGTTGAGTTCATTTATATTTTTACTCTCACTTTAAAAACCAAATCTGATATTTCACAGTGCTATTGACTGCATGAGTTCTGGTCATTTGGAGTTGACTGCTCTGTAACAATATAAGAGTGCCTTCACATTTAAATACCAATTGAGACCAAATTCAATATTGTGCCCTGTGAACAGAATAAATTCCTTATTTAGCTACTTGTAGCCAATAACCACCAATAGCCACAGAAATAAATATGATCAGGCAGCACGGTGGCAAAGTGGTTAGCACTTGCCTCACAGCACCAGGGACCTGGGTTCAATTCCACCCTCAGGCGACTGTCTGTGGAGTTTGCACATTCTCCCCGTGCCTGCGTGGGTTTCCTCCGGGTGCTCCGGTTTCCTCCCACAGTCCAAAGGTGTGCAGGCTAGGTGGATTGGCCATGCTAAATTGCCCATAGTGTTCAGGGATGTGTAGATTGTGGGTTATAAGGGGGATTGGTCTGGGTGGGATATTCTGAGGGTCGGTGTGGACTTGTTGAGCCAAAGGGCCTGTTCCAACACTGTAGGGATTCTATGATCTATGATCTAAGTGAGGAGGCAAAATATGAATTGAATAGAATAGTGATTTATTGTGTTTTTACAAAAAAAGTATAGTGAAAATTCTTAAGTCCATCTGTGGCTGTGCTGTGTTACAATTAAGGTAAAATTTCATTACTAGACTTGCTAGAAGTGTGTAGCTTCTGTGTGTATTATGTCTGTGAGATATGTTTTGTTTATCCCAATGTAGCGATGGAATCCTGTGGATGGTTTCAGTGACCGCCTTCTACCCAGTGACCGCTGGCAATGGAGTGATGTTACAGGTTTGATCCATCAACCACTAGATGAGTTTAAACTTGCTTCACCGCACTGGGAGTGGGAATCTGACTGGTACGTGGATGAAAATATTGGAGGAGAGCCAACAGAAAAAGGGGTAAGAAAGTACAAGTGTTTGTGTTTATGATAAACATAAGTGAACGGTATTCCAAGCAAGCAGACAGCTGTGTGTTGAGGTTGCCTCAACCTTTTTTGATTTTCCATCTTTCCCAACCAAAATTTTACGTAACAAGGTTACAATGGTTTAAGATCTGTTCTGGAAGGAAAATACTAAGTTTTTTTTCATGAATTGGTTAAGAATTTATATAAAGAAAAAGATAGTTCCAGTTAATAATCTAGAGATCACTTAGGCAAAATGGTTTTTGTAACTCTGTGTGATTCTATGTGCTCCTACCGGGTTCACCTTTGGATTGTTTGTTTGATTAATACTTTGTATCTGTTTGTATGAGCTTCAGCATTTGTTTATTTTCTTCACTACCTGGGAGCACTGGACTAGTGACATCTCTCCTGTACTACCTTGCAATGGCTTAACCTTGTATCATGAAAGTCATTGAAAAATGTTGGGAATTAGCTCTTAAAAAAATTCAGTTATGTTTCTCTGCTTAGCATGTTGTCTTTGGACAAGTGCGATACAGCCTGTCACATTGTCAAAGTAGTTAAACATCTTTTCTGTAGTTTTCTGTTGCAATGAAAAAGTGCTAGAACATCTCTATGGTCTTTGCGGCTTCAGCTAGGAAAGCAGTTAGGTGAACAGGCAGGCATTTGTCAGACTCTTCAGTGTTATCAGGCTCTTTGGTTGAAGAATGTTCTGATCTGTAATTGCCTTATCTGTTCGTTTCATTGTACAGTCTATGGGATTATCCATCTCAGTGTAGGTTTCCGTGCTTGTCTGTACTAGAGATGGAGGGTGGTGGTGGAGGGTTGTTTTTCAGATTGGAGACTTGTGACCATTGGTGTTCCATAGGGATTGGTGCGGGTATACTGATGTTTGTCATTTACATAAACAATTCAGGTGAGAATTTAGAAAGCGTGATTAGTACGTTTGTGGATGACACCAAAATTGGTGGTATAGTGGACAGTGAAGAAGACTATCTAAGATTACAAAGGGATCTTGATCAATTTGGCCAATTGGCCGAGGAGTGACAGATGGAGTTTAATTTGGATAAATGCGAGGTGTTTGGTTAAACAAAGAAGGGCAGGATTTATACAGTTAATGGTAGGGCCCTGGGGAGTGTTGTCAAACAGAGAGACTTAGGTATTCAGGTACATATTTCTTTGAAAGTTTTATCACGGGTAGACGGGGTGGTAAAGAAGGCGTTTGACATGCTTGCCTTCATTACTGAAACCACTGAGTATAGGAGTTGGGAAGTTATGTTGCGGTTATACAGGACATTGGTGAGGCCACTTTTGGGGTCCTGAGCACAGTTCTGGTAGCCCTGCTATAGGAAGGATATTATCAAAATGGAGAGGGGGCAGAAAAGATTTACAAGGATGTAACCAGGATTGGAGGGTTTCAGTTATAAGGTAATGCTGGATAGGCTGGGACTTTTTTACTGGAGTGTAGGAGATTGAGGGGTGACCTTTTAGAGGCTTATAAAATCATGAGGGGTATAGATGAGGTGAAAGCAAAAGTCTTTTCCCTAAGGTAGGGGAGTTCAAATCTAGAGGGCATATTTTTAATGTGAGACAAGAAAGATTTAAAAGGGACCTGAGGGGGAACGTTTTCACACAGAGGGTGGTTTATATGTGGAATGAACTGCCAAAGGAAGTAGTAGATGCTGATACAGTTACAACATTTAACAGATGTCTGGACAGGTACATGAACAGGAATGGTTTAGAGGGAAAAGGGCCAAACGCATGCAAATGGGACTAGTTTAGTTTGGGAAATTTGATCAGCATGGACGAGTTGGACCGAAGGATCTGTTTCCGTGCTCTATGACTCTACTGGAATATCCATGCTGGCTTCCTGCAGGCGAGTGCAAAAAGCCTTATTATTGGACTGGTTGGCCTCACACTGCTCCTCCTCATTCTGCGTTTTGTGCGTCTTGGCATCTTCCAGGTCTTCTTCATCATTAACATGATCTTTAGAACATTTCAGTTGGGTTTCTGCTTATTGATGATGATGATGACGATGTGAAAGATCAGTTACTTTTGGTAATTAGTTTCTAGGTTCCTAATCAGCCCTGATCCAATGCTCAAGTTTGGTCACTGTTTTATGAGGCAAGAATATCAGCTTGATGCTATTGAGGCCAGAGACGTCTGGGTGTGCAGAGCACTTGTCTAACATGATAATTTTCCTTTGCTTCCGTTGATACATTTTGACCAGTTTCCTGATCCAAGTCTCAAAAATACTGGAAGTCAACCAGGCAGTTTTGTTAACTTGTGCTGCAAAGTAATGTGGCTTCCTTGACTTTCCTATCATAAGCAGTAGCAACTTTTCAGTGCCATCTATGTTAATGCAGACCATGGCAGTGACTTATCTTGATTTCGCCACCACTGTTTGCTATGCAGAAGACTAGGTCGTGCATTATCTTGATTTAGTCCAGCCATCGATTGCTGCAAATGACCTCTTTGTGGCCCGGTCTCTTTGCCAGAGTGACCCTCCTTTCCTGCAGAATTGGACCAGATATGGGAATGTTCTGTTCTCGAGCCATTTTGAACCACATTAGCATAGCTTCTTCAGCATCAGGAAAAGCAGTGATTCTCATTCTTTTCCTTGCTTGATCAAACTGACTTTCATCTTGTGCTTCAGAATGATTTACAGAATCTTGATGATGGAAAATCCCACTCATTAATGATATCCACTTTTTGCTTTGTACCAGTTTTCCACTTGTTTTATCAACTTTGCTTCCAATTGATAGCACTTTTAATTTTCTCACAGGTTTATCCATACTGGCATGGTTTAAAGATTCCATAGGGTGTATAGCAAAGAAAGAGGCCATTTAGCCATTGTCTTTGCATTACCCAAAGCTGTTTGTGTTTCTTATTTTAGGGTTGGACATATGCCATCGATTTTCCTGCCACTTACACAAAAGACAAGCGGTGGAATTCTTGCGTGCGTAGACGGCGATGGATCCGATACAGAAGATACAACGCGTGTGACATGTGGGCAAAGGTTTGTAGACTAGTCTCTCCTCAAATAGATTTTTGTTTGAATTTTCAGAGTTAGCCTTTTAAATGAAAGACACATGACAGGAATATGTGTATTCAGTAGGTGAATTGGACTGTTGTGTGAATAAGTTACTCTGTTGTACATTGAATGAATTTGCCCAGTTTTTGCATTCAGTATCCTGTAAATGCCCATTCTTAATAAAAACCGAAAGAACTGCGGATGCTGTAAATCAGGAACAAAAACGAAGTTGCTGGAGAACCTCAGCAGGTCTGGCAGCCTCTGTGAAAGGAAAAATAGAGTTAACGTTTCGGGTCCAATGACCCTTCCTCAGAACTGATGGGGGCTGGGAAAACGTCAGTTTATATGCAGAAAATAAGGAGGTGGGTGGGGTAGGGAGTAAACGATAGGATAGAGCCCAAAGAAAGAGAAAGACAGTTGGACAGACAAAGGAGTTGCTAACGAGCAGGCTGGGAGGGTGAATATTTGTTAATGGGGACTGTTAGTGACTAACAACAGAGGGTGTGTAATGGCAGGCTATGTGGTAACAAGGCCTGGTGTGTGGAGTAGCGGGCTGGGACATGGGAGAGTTTAGGCCCTAAAGTTATTGAGCTCAATATTGAGTCCAGAGGGATTAGGGCCCCCAAGCGGAAAATGAGGCGTTGTTCCTCCAGCTTGCGTTGGGCTTCGCTGGAAGATTGTAGCAAGTCAGAGACCTAAGAACTAGGAGCAGGAGTAGGCCATCCGGCCCTTCGAGCCTGCTCCGCCATTCAATAAGATCATGGCTGATCTTTTCGTGGACTCCAATCCACGAAACAGAGACAGAGAGCCAGGGAGCAGGGTGGTGCGTTGAAGTAGCAGGCAACAGGTAGTTCAGGGTCTTTTTTGCAAGCAGAACGTAGATGTTCTGCGAAGCGGTCACCAAGTCTACACTTCGTTTCCCCAATGTAGAGGAGTCCACATTGTGAGCAGTGAATGCAGTAGACTAGATTCTGGGAAGTGCAGATGAAGTGTTGCTTCATCTAGAAGGTATGTTTGGGCCCTTGGATACTAGGGAGGGAGGAGGTAAATGGGCAGGTGTTGCACCTTTGCCAGTTACAGAGGAAGGTACCATCGGGCTGTGGGCAGGTGTTGGTGGTGAAGGAAGTGTGGACCAGGGTGTCCCGTAGGGAACGGTCCGTGTGGAAGGCAGACAAGGGAGGGGAGGGGAATATGTGTCTGAATGCCCATTCTTGCTTCTTTTCGTACAATTATAAACCTACAACATAGAACATAGAACATTACAGCGCAGTACAGGCCCTTCGGCCCTCGATGTTGCGCCGACCTGTGAAACCAATCTGAAGCCCATCTAACCTAAACTATTCCATTATCATCCATATGTTTATCCAATGACCATTTAAATGCCCTTAAAGTTGGCGAGTCTACTACTTTTGCAGGCAGGGCATTCCACGCCCTTACTACTCTCTGAGTAAAGAACCTACCTCTGACATCTGTCCTATATCTATCACCCCTCAATTTAAAGCTATGTCCCCTCGTGCTAGCCATCACCATCCGAGGAAAAAGGCTGCCACTGTCCACCCAATCTAATCCTCTGATCATCTTGTATGTCTCTATTAAGTCACCTCTTAACCTTCTTCTCTCCAATGAAAACAGCCTCAAGTCCCTCAGCCTTTCCTCATAAGACCTTCCCTCCATACCAGGCAACATCCTGGTAAATCTCCTCTGCACCCTTTCCAATGCTTCCACATCCTTCCTATAATGCGGTGACCAGAACTGTACACAATACTCCAAGTGCGGCCGCACCAGAGTTTTGTGCAGCTGCAACATGACCTCATGGCTCCGAAACTCAATCCCTCTACCAATAAAACCTAACATACCGTACGCCTTCTTAACAACGCTATCAACCTGGGTGGCAACTTTCAGTGAACTATGCACATGGACACCGAGATCTCTCTGCTCATCCACACTACCAAGAATCTTACCATTAGCCCAGTACTCTGTATTCCTGTTACTCCTTCCAAAGTGAATCACCTCTCACTTTTCTGCATTAAACTCCATTTGCCACCTCTCAGCTCAGCTCTGCAGCTTATCTATGTCCCTCTGTAACCTGCAACATCCTTCCGCACTATCCACAACTCCACCAACTTTGGTGTCATCCGCAAATTTACTAACCCATCCTTCTACGCCCTCATCCAGGTCATTTATAAAAATGACAAACAGCAGTGGCCCCAAAGCAGATCCTTGAGGTACACCACTAGTAACTGAACTCCAGGATGAACATTTCCCATCAACCACCACCCTCTGTCTTCTTACAGCTAGCCAATTTCTGATCCAAACCGCTAAATCACCCTCAATCCCATGCCTCTGTATTTTCTGCAATAGCCTACCATGGGGAACCTTATCAAATGCTTTACTGAAATCCATATACACCACATCAACCGCTTTACCCTCATCCACCTGTTTGGAAACCTTCTCAAAGAACTCAATAAGGTTTGTGAGGCACGACCTACCCTTCACAAAACCGCGTTGACTATCCCTAATCAAATTATTCCTTTCTAGATGATTATAAATCCTATCTCTTATAATCCTTTCCAACACTTTACCCACAACCGAAGTAAGGCTCACTGGTCTATAATTACCAGGGTTGTCTCTACTCCCCTTCTTGAACAAGGGGACAACACTTGTTAGTCTCCAGTCTTCTGGCACTATTCCTGAAGACAATGACGACATAAAGATCAAAGCCAAAGGCTCTGCAATCTCCTCTCTTGCTTCCCAGAGAATCCTAGGATAAATCCCATCCGGCCCAGGGGACTTATCTATTTTCACACCTTCCAGAATTGCTAACACCTCCTCCTTATGAACCTCAATCCCGTCTAGTCTAATAGCCTGTATCTCAGTATTCTCCTTGACAACATTTGTCTTTTTCCTGTGTGAATACTGACGAAAAATATTCATTTAGCGCCTCTCCTATCTCTTCGGACTCCACGCACAACTTCCCACTACTGTCCTTGACCAGCCCCAATCTTACTCCAGTCATTCTTTTATTCCTGACATACCTATAGAAAGCTTTAGGGTTTTCCTCGATTCTACCTGCTAAAGACTTCTCATGTCCCCTCCTGACTCTTCTTAGCTCTCTCTTTAGGTCCTTCCTGGCTAACTTGTAACCCTCAAGCACCCTAACTGAGCCTTCACGCCTCATCTCTACATAAGCCTCCTTCTTCCTCTTGATAAGAGATTCAATTTCTTTAGTAAACCACGGTTCCCTCGCTCGACCACTTCCTCCCTGCCTGACAGGTACATACTTCTCAAGGACATGCAGTAGCTGTTCCTTGAACAAGCTCCATATTTCAATTGTGCCCAGCCCCTGCAGTTTCCTTCTCCATCCTATGCATCCTAAATCTTGCCTAATCGCCTCATAATTGCCTTTTCCCCCAGCTATAACTCTTGCCCTGCGGTATATACCTATCCCTTTCCGTCGCTAAAGTAAACGTAACCGAATTGTGGTCACTATCACCAAAGTGCTCACCTACCTCCAAATCTAACACCTGGCCTGGTTCATTACCCAGTACCAAATCCAATGTGGCCTCGTCTCTTGTTGGCCTATCTACATACTGTGTCAGGACACTCTTCTGCACACATTGGACAAAAACTGACTCATCTAAAGTACTCGAACTATAGCGTTTCCAGTCAATATTTGGAAAGTTAAAGTCCCCCATAACGACTACCCTGTTACTTTCGCTCCTATCCAGAATCATCTTTGCAATCTTTTCCTCTACATCTCTGGAACTTTTCAGAGGCCTATAGAAAACTCCCAACAGGGTGACCTCTCCTTTCCTGGTTCTAACCTCAGCCCATACTACCTCAGTAGACGAGTTCTCATCAAACGTCCTTTCTGCCACCGTAATACTGTCCTTGACTAACAATGCCACACGTCCCCCTCTTTTACCACCTTCCCTGATCTTACTGAAACATCTAAAGCCCGGAACCTGCAACAACCATTCCTGTCCCTGCTCTATCCATGTGTCCAAAACGGCCACAACATGGAAGTCCCAGGTACCAACCCATGCTGCAAGTTCACCCACCTTATTCCGGATGCTCCTGGCATTCAAGTAGACACACTTCAAACCACCTTCCTGCCTGCCTGTACACTCCTGCGACCTTGAAACCTTGTTTATGACCTCACTACTCTCAAGCTCCTGTACACTGGAGCTACAATTCAGGTTCCCATCCCCCTGTTGAATTAGTTTAAACCCTCCCGAAGAGCATTAGCAAATTTTCCTCCCAGGATATTGGTACCCCTCTGGTTCAGGTGTAGACCATCCCATTTGTAGAGGTCCCACCTACCCCAGAATGAGCCCCAATTATCCAGGTATCAACATAGTTAGAAAATACTATACAGATAGTTTTGCAAGAGTTACCGTAGGTGTACCTAGTGGATAATGTGTGCTGATTTCTTTGTTAATTCAGCAATGTTAATATGTTTTGCAAAAACTAAATTATCAGCCTTTCTTCAAGGTGGTTAAAACAGAAAAATCAATGGGTAAGGTAGAAAAGGATGAATCTAATTTTATATGAACTTAGTTCTGCAATGGAGCATAGTAAGCACAAATTTTAAAACGTATTACTCAATCTCTGAGACATCTCATGTAGTTGATTCAGCAAAAAAGTGTTAGAAATTGCAGGTATTTCCATATCATCTAAGTTGTTTATGAGCAAAACCACTTTTAATAGTTTAGAGCATTTCCACCTCCCTTTCACATTACGTTGCAGAATTACACTATGACATACTCTAATTAGTATATTGTCTCATATGGCTTAACATCAAACTTTCTTTGACCATCACCCTCTGGAGTGCCTTAGGAGGGACATTATGAAAATGGATATATTAGGTGATCAATTGCAAGAGTACAGGGAATGGTGACCACAAAGATGGCATTCTGGACAGCCAGTTGTAGGCATATGAAACTGGAGGCAAGTGAACGTGTGATCAAATCTTCAGTATATAACTTGTCCAGAGTTGGTAACCAGCTGGTAGTGGTTGTAGAATTTCATAATTGTGACAGTGCAGAAGAAGGCCATTCAGCTCATTGTGTCTGCACCAGTTCTCTAGCAAGCATTATGATTTCATGCCATTCTCCTGCCTTTTCCCCATGCCCTTGCACATTGTTTCTATTCAGATAATCATCTCGTGCCCTCTGGAATGCCTTAATTGAAAATGCCTCCATCACACTTCCAAGCTGTGCATTCCAGACCTGTGTGGAGGAGTTGTTTTTCCATATCATAATTTTTCTTTTTTGTGAATCTCTTCAAATTGGTGCCCTCTCTTTCTTGATGCTTTTTCACAGGATCAGTTTCACCCTGTCTACTTTGTCCAGACTTCTCCTGAATTTGAAAACGTTAACAAAATCTACTCTTAGCCTTCTCATTTCCAAGGAAACAATCCCAACTTCTCCAAACTATCCTCATAACAGTAGTTTCACATTCCTGGAACCATTCTTGTAAACCTCTTCTCCAAACTATCCAGTGCTAAAGTGTGATGCCTAGAACTGTACACAATATTCCAGCTGAGGTCTAGTATCTTATACAGGTTAAGCGTAACGTCCCTACTTGTCTTCTCTGTGTCCTCATTAATAAACCCTAGGATACTGTATACTTTATTAACTGCTGTCTCCACCTGACCTTCCTTCAATAATTTATGCACATACACACTCAGGTCTCTCTACTCCTGCACAATATTTACAGCAGTATCTTCTTTACTGTCTCCTCATGCTTTTTTTAACAAAATGTATCACCTTGCACTTCTTCAAATTAAATTTCATCTGTCACCTGTTCATCCACTTCACCATCTTGGTGAAGCTGTTTTGAAGTTCTCCAATCCTTCTCATAGCATACTTTCAAATTTTGTATTGTCTGCAATCTTTGAAATCGTTCCTCTTTTCCAAGATCTAGATTGTTATTATAAATCAGGAAAAACAAAAGTCCCAATACTGACCCCAGGGTACTCCACTGGTGACACATCCTGCACATTGAATTTCCTTTTAGCTAACACTATTTCTTGCTGTGATGAAATTCCTGATATTATAGAAACACAATCTGACTTGGAACCTGAGAGTTCATTAACATTAAACTGAAAAGACCACTGTTGTTAATGATGTGAAAGAAGTCATAAGACTTTGATCCCATGGATGTATTTTTACAGTAATGCCAATGCCGGTATGACTTGTAATTAATATAGTGAATGTGAAGAGATAACACAGTGTGGAACTGGAGGAACACAGCAGGCCAGGCAGCACCAGAGGAGCAGGAAAGTTGATGTTTGGGTCAGGACCCTTCTTCAGAAGACTGGAAACGCCAACTTTCCTGCTCCTCTGATGCTTCCTGGCCTGCTGTGTTCCTCCAGCTCCACACTGTTTTATCTCTGACTCCAGCATTAGCAGTTCTTACTGTCTCTTAGTGAATGTGCAGAGTTTTGTTTTAAATTTATGTCCTTTTAAATTAATTGACTTAGAATAAAACAGCAAAGTTGAAGCTTGTTACATGCTGTTTTTAAGTCAGATCTTTTTTTATCAGATTCCCTTACAAGAGACAGGGCCACTGCCGGATCCCTTTAATGATATTGCAGTAGGAGGATGGGAAATCACTGATGAACCTTTAGGACATCTTTCAGTCTGGGCAGTAACAGTACAAGGAAAGGTACAGTAAACTCAAAGATGGAAAGCGGTATTGTCATGTAAATGTGTAAGCCTGAAAATATCTGCAGAAGCAACATGACCAAAACTAGATCTTATCTATGCAGATTCACTTCCACTTGGAGTGACTGGTTAGCAGTCAAGAAAGTGAATCCCTTCTCTTTCTTCTGCAATACTGTCCACAGGCTACATTGAAGGCAGTGTTCCTACCCTGGTGTTGAAACCATGGACCACACCCCTTTTCTATCACTTTTTTTTTAAAGCAAGATATGTATAGTTGCCTGTCTTTGTAATTTAACGATAAACATACAACAGAAGTGACACTGGGCTGAACCTTGTGGTGTAGGGGATCTTGTCTGCTGATGAGAGACCGTTGCTGTCTTTTCTTGGTTACAGCTGCTGGCCAGTCAGAGACGAGCAGCTCATGCACTCAGCAGCATCCTGACATCTGCCAGAGTTTCAGGATTGTGGAGGACTCAGGCCAGGATGGGAGTGATTAAATGCTCTTCCTGCCTCCAAGCTTGCTAGCTGAGAGAGCAAAACATTTTGCCCATAGTATCAATATGTATTCGTGTTGCTCTACAAATTTTGTGGAAAGTGCTACAGTTAAACATTGAAACCAGAAGAATACTTTAAGATTGTTTAAGACACATAGATCTTTTGAAAGGACAAATATTTTCCTCAAAAAATGCTCTTAATCCGAACCAGTGTAGTGTATAATTTAGCATTTGGTTTCTTTCAGGTGTTTTATAGAGAAAATATAAATGACCAGAATCCTGAAGGTTCAATGTGGACTGAAATCCAGACTCCTGGGGAAGTAGTTCAGATAACTTGTGGACCAGGGGATCTTCTGTGTGCTGTATTGTGGGAAGGTCAGCTGATGGTGAGGGAAGGTGTAATCAGAGAGAATCCTAAAGGTACATATTTTAGTTATAATTCAACATGAATGCATTCTCATAATTATTGTTAATATGTTGATATAGAACATCAAGGTTAAGATCCTCAATAAATGCACAGGCAAGTAAGTCTCTACCTAAAATTGCAAAAAGTATAAAGTGCAGAAACAGCCCATTCAATCCAATGATCTTTTGTGCATTGAAATTTAAATTATTTGTATTCTCAATGTTGTGAATAAGGAACAATAAGGCGTCCACTCTATTTAGATATTACCCATATGACATTGTTACTTTCTGTATTGCTCCATCAAGCAGCATCACGCTTCCAAATGCCATCCTGATGAGGCAGAGCTGGAGCAGAGAAGGAGAGAAAATAAAGCAAATCCCTCACATCAGATCCCATTACCCCATGAGACATTCTACCCCATGTGCCCAAAGATCTGTGGGTCAAAAAAAATCAGCCTGTTCAGTTCCATAAAGACCCAGAACAGAAATTCATGACCCTTAATTGATATCACCCTCAAATTGAGGGACAGCTGCCATGCCTCCCACTTCTTGAAGCAGAAAAAGATTCCGCCCAGTAATGGAAACCTCTTTGACTCAGATAGTAATATGATCCTATCAGTGTGGTTGAAAGCTATAAGCCAGTAAAAGAAGTATGAGAGATGGTCTCAAAATTAATCAATGCAGTCAGCCAATGACCTCATACCTGATGATAACTGAGGAAGTCATGTTTTGGCTGCCATAGTATGTGAATACTGCAGCGTCCAGGAGGATGGATTTACACCTTAGGCCTGGAGTTCAACTGTTAGTCATATTTGGCAACAGCCAGATCAAGTAATTAAAATCATGAAAAAATCTGGACAACTCTAGCTCACAAACTGACCAGAGCTTCTCTGTTTAGTGTGGTATATTAAGGCATATCTGATAAGATTACATTACTTCACACTTAATTTTCGCAAAGTATTTCTGAATGGATGCAAAGTCTTGTCTTCTCATTTATTTATTCATAAATTACAATGCTGCATCTTGGTTAAATAACAGCGCAAGACTCTGCAGTTCAGCTCTGGAGGTCATGCTACGGATGCTATAAGTGTGTTCTCTGTCACTTGATCCATAGGGAGTTCTTGGAAGATTGTTGAACCACCAAACTCTGAAAATGGTCTTGTTCAGGTATCAGTGGGCGTTAATGTACTGTGGGCTGTTACACGGGACAGAAGAGTAAGTACACACACTGCAGGTATTCTATGCAAAATTGTAGTAAATAATATATACATTAGCTTGGAGTTCCTTAGCCGAGATCAGGAAACAAATCATAAACCACAATTCTGAACTTGGAACCTTTGTTTTCTGCACAGTCACTGCTGTTCTACACAATGCATTAATACAGTGAGCTCTTAGTCGGAGAGGCTGGCTGGTGGTGGGTGGCAATGGGAACTAGCTGTGGGCTTTGTCAACTTGTATCTGCTTTATAAAACCAAACAATGTTTTTAAATAGTGCAAAAACTTGTCTTCCTTTAGCCATTCCTTAAGTTGACAAGAAGTGTATGCATGCAAACGAGACTAATAAAATAGGACTTGAATTTATATAGCACCTGTCATGACGTTAGGGTGCTCCTCAAATGCTTCATAGCCAGTGTGATGTAAGAAATGTGACAGGCAGTTTGTGCAGGACAAATGCCCAGAAAGAGCATTGAGATAATCATCTGTTATAGTGCTTTTGGTAGAGGGATACCTATTGGTTACAACGTGAGGGAGAACTCCTCTGCTTTTCTTCGAACTGTTGCAGTGGAAACTTCTATACCTGGATTGCCAGAATCCAGTCTGCCATGTATGTTTCTTTGGCCTGTGGACCTGGTGTACAAAATACAGTTAAGTGGAAATGAAAGATCCTGTTCCTCCAATCAAAGGCTGCATCATTCCCGTATTTTCAGCTGTTGGAGCCCATCTGCAGCAAATGCCAAGAGGAACATTCTGTGATTGGAGGAATAATGAGCAGTGTGGCTTCATTCGGGCCTGAGATCTGAACCCCAATGCTGGCAGTGAGACTGTTGGGCGGTCAGTGGAGGGTCTTCAGCCAAGAGATTGCCTGTTGCCAGAGGGGTGGAGATGAAGAATCATCAGTTGCCAGAGAGAATCTTGCTTCCTATGCAGACACTACCTGCAATTGCAACAATTGAAATAGAGGAGTGGCACACAAGGGCCGAGGGGCATGTGTCAAAGAGAGAAAAAGAGGGAAACCGTGTTTGAGAAAGAGAGGGCGCGAGCGTGTGGGCGAGCGAGAGAGGAGCAAGAGCAAGAGTGACTGTATGAGAACAAGGGCATGTGTGTGCGAGAGAAAGAGCGCATGTATATTTGTATATATGTGTACAAAAGAGAGGAAGAGTATGTGTGAGTGAGAGAGGAAACGTATATAGCTGTGTGTGAGAGAGCGTGTTTGTGATAGCAAGAGAGGAACAGTGTGTGCGTGCATGTGTGTGCATGAGAAAAAGAGCAAGAACATGTTTTTGTGAGAGAGAGCAAGATTTTTTGTGTGTGAGAGTAGGGTTGTGTAAGAGCATGTGTGTGCATAAGAGAGCATGAGAGTGTGTGTGTGTGTATGAGAGAGAGAGAGAGAGAGGGAATGCAAGAGTGTGTGTATTTGTGTGAGAGAGAGAGCAACAGTGTGTGTGAGCAAGAGGAAAGTGTGAGTGCCTTGCGTGAGAGGCACTGTGCGAATGTGTGTGTGCATATGTGTGTGTGAGAGTGACACAGTGCATGCCTATGTGAGAGAAAGGCACCGGGTGTGAATAAGAAAGACAGACATTGAGAGTGAAAGTGAAAGAGAATGTCAATGAGAAAGAGAGACTGTTTCTAAGTGTGAGAGAGTGGAATGAATTGTACACATGCTCCCAGTCGCTCACCCTTTCCTGCTCTTCCACAAATGCCTGTCCACACGCCAGGCTCAGAGAGGAAGAAGCCCCAGGCTGAATGGCAACCCTTTCTGTCCCCCATTCTGCATGAATTTTGCCCGAGCGAGCTTTGAGTGTACACCACCAGAGGTAAACACAAGGTTAAATCAACGCCTTAGCTTAGCCCCGATCTCCGACCCCTTTCCTGATGACCAGGATTTGGGGTATAGTTGATCTGTCTCTATATGCTTCTTAAGCTCACGGTCTATTTTCCATAATCTTGAAATTATCCAAAATTCTGCTGCACCGTGTCTTAACTTTCACAAGGCCCCTCTCACCCTTCATCTCTGTGCTTGCTGACTTAGATCAGGACTCAGTTGAGTAACACTTTGATTTCAAAATTTAAAATCTCAAGGTTATGGGAAATGTGGGCAGATGGCTAGGAGTACAATTGAATACTCAAGCCTACTGAAAATAAATTCATGAATTGGGGTTTCAGTAGATGAGCTATGGCAGAAGCATAGTTGGGTAATGTTATAGAGGTGAAAATAAGCATTCTTCATAATGGCATTGATATGAGGTCAAACATCACCTTGGGCTTAAATGTAGTCCTGAGGTTGCAAACAGTCTGATTTTGTATTTTGACAGCTGCAGGGAACAATTGCGAAGGAACGGAGCTTGTAGCATGAACTAAAGGCAATTACTTTGGTCTTCAACATATTTGAGTCTGTATACGTCCACTAAAGCAAGCAAATTTTAAGAAGCTGAGTGACACTTACACCACACAAATGCCAGGCAATGATCATTTCCAGTAAGAGACAATCTAACGAACACCCCTTGACTTACAATGGTGTCATCATCACTGAATCCCCCACTGTCAACATCCTGGGAATTACCATTGACCAGAAACTCAATGAGACTCACCACATGAACACAGTGGCTACAAGAGCAGGTCAGATGCTAGGAATACTGAGGTGAGTAACTCCCCTCTTGACTCCCGAAACCCTGTTTACCATCTACAAGGCCCAAGTCAGGAGTGTGATGGAATACTCCCCACTTGCGTGGATGTGTACAGCTCAAACAACACTCGAAGCTTGACAAAGCAGCCCGCTTGATTGGCACTACATCCACAGATCTTAATTTGAAAATTTTCATCTTGTTTTTCAATCCTTCCGTGGCTTCATCTTCCCTATCTCTGTTAAGATCCAGCCTTTCAAGCCTCTGACTTATCTGTGTTCTTTAAATTAAGATCTCTGTGCATTTCCCAAGTTTAATCTCTCTACCGTTGGTGGCTGTACCTTCAACTGCCTAGACTTGAAGCTCTAAATATCCTCCTCATACCCCTCTTCTTTACTTTTAAGATGCCACGTTAAAACCAACCCTTTGACCAAGTTTTCTGATATCTGCTTGAATATCTCCTTAAGCCTCAAATTTTGCTTGATAACACGCCGGTTGAAACTCCTTGTCATGGTGTTAAGGACCCTCTTTGAATATATGTGGTCAAATATCATTTTTGAAATTCCTATTCTTTGCTTAGCTTATTTTTTGTTTTGTTCATCAGATGCATTCCAAGCAAATAACTTATCTATTTGTTCTAATTCCATTTTGTCCTCTCTTCTAAAATCATTTTTGTTTGACCTCATTCTGTGTCTCATTAACTCAGTTTTCAATCTTTGTTCAAAACTTGTCTGATCACCTCCCAAGTACCTTTCGGAGTCTCTCTCTTCTCTGCTGTACTCTTGGGTGCTTTGTCAATTTCCCATTGTTCTAGAATGAAGCTTATAAGACATAATAAACCAATGTTGAAGAAAATGTTCTCAATAAATTATTAGGAGATTAATAAAATGGTAGACCTCAAAGTAGAACTATAGCACAGCCTTTATATTGAACAGCATGAGAAAGAACCCGGAATACTTTTAATATTGTTAGATAACAATGTATCTGGTTTACTGCTCTGAGTGTGATCCTATTATTGTCGAATTTCAGCCCTGCTCTTGGGCAGTGCAAATTTCAATTTGTCTCTAAGTGCAGTGTATTTTACTCGATGATTGTAGCAGCCTGCATTCTAAATCTCTCAAATCCTGTTCACCCATCCCCATTGTAATTGTAAATTGACACCCCATCCTGTGACACCGTAATTTAAAAATTTTTGTCCTTGTTTTAAAATCCTTCCATGGCCTTGACATTCACCCATCTCTGTTATCTCTTCCAGCTCTACAACTCCGCAAGATAGCTGTGCTCCTCCAGTCCTGGCCCCTTGTGAATCCTTGACTTTTATTGCCCTAACAATGGAAGCCATGTCTTCAGCTGCTTAGGTCTTGAAGTTTTGAATCCTTGAATCTCCATGCTTCTCTATTCTCTCTTTTAAGAAGCTTATTAAAACCTGTCTCTTTAAACAAGCTGTTGTTCGCCTGCCAAGATATCTCCTTACGCGGCTCAGTCTCAAATTTTGTTTCATATTCAGATTTTGAGTCCTTGTGATTCAGTAGTCTATAGCCATGTGGGCTCAACATAGAGTGCAATAATTTTAAATCACTACCTTAGCCTCTGTTTTGTTTTATGCTTATTTTTTGGTAGTTTGTGTCCCTTCTTGGTTCTTTCTTTACTCATTCACTTTGCATTCGAACAGATGCTAGTCAACCATTCACAGTTCATTTTGTTTCTTTTAACTGTCCAGTACTTTTTGCTTTAGCTTTTGTAATTTGAAACCTTTTACCAATTAATCTCACCACTATATCACGGACTTTCCCTTTACCTTCCTGCTCCCCCTACCCCTTGCTTGCAAAAACCTATTAAATTTCTAACTTCCAGTTCTGATGAAGGGATTATTGATTGTGAATTGGTTTCTGTCTATAGATAGTGCCTGCCCTGCTGAGTATGTACAGCGTTGTTTTTTTTTTGTTTTGTCCACTCAACCCGTTGTGCCTGTACGAGCTCTTTAGAAAGAGCTCTCTTGTTCTACCTCTGTGTCCTTTCTTCTACATTTTTTACTTTTCAACTATATATCTAATCCCTTTTGAAAGTTAATATTGAATCTGCTCGCACCTCCTTTGCAGACAATACTTTCCAGATCACTAGGTTTTTAAAAACAAACCTCCTCATCTCTCTGATTCTTTTGCAAGTTAACTTAAATCTGGTTACTGCTTCTCTTGCCAGATGAAACAGTTTCTCTGTGTCCTCTGTCAAAAAATGTTGAACACTTTCAAAATATATATCTCATTTTACAAGCTGTGTATCTCTGTCACTAGGTCTGGTTTCGAAGAGGTGTCTGCTCTGAGAACCCTGTGGGAACAGGTTGGATTTGTATGAATATAGAGATGGTGATGGTGAATGTGGGATTAAATGATCAGGTATGAATATTTTTATTTCCTTTTTTGACAGTGGTCATGCTTTTTAAGACCAGTTGAATATTGGTGTTAAAGCACTAAACTGACAAAGTTTTATTGCATTATTTCAGAATCAAATGTGTTTAAATAATGCAATTTGTTTTCATGTTTCAATCTTCCCAGTTTTATTTACACCAGAATTTAATTATTCTACTTTGTTCCTAAATTCTTTCAAAATTATCTTCAAAACAATTTTGAATACTTCCTTTCAGGTGGGTTGTTGTGGGTGATGCTCGACGTTGTAATTATATTAACTAAATTTAGCTTTTGAAATTCTTTTGTCAATATGTTACTGTACCTAAACATTTTGTTTTGCCAACTTGCTTAAATCAAATTGGACAAGGAGCTGCACTGTGTTACATACACAATTTATTTTTTGTTCTAACCCAAGGTTTGGGGAATCGGTTATGAAGACCGTAATATTTACTTCCGTCATGGAGTGACACCTACTGAATACAGTGGAAAAGCTTGGAAAGTAATAGTAGCGAGCAGAGAACATGACCGAGCCTCTCGAACAGGCAGTGCTACCAGTCTTGCAAGGTACAGTAACCCACCAAAGACACAAGGATTTGCAACACACATGTACAAATGTTGCAAGATAAATGGTAATCATTTGTAGGGAGGAACATTACAAGGGGGCATAATTTTAAGGTGATTGGAGGAAAGTATAGGGGAGATATCAGAGGTTCTTTACACAGAGAGTGGTCGGCATGTGGAATGCGCTGCTGGCAGTGGTAGTGGAGTCAGATACTTTAGAGACATTTAAGCGACTCTTGGATAGGCACATGGAGGACAGTAAAATGTAGGGTAAGCAGGGTAGATTGATCTTAGGAGGATAATAGGTCGGCACAACATCGTGGGCTGAAGGGCCTATACTGTGCTGCACTGTTCTATGTTCTATAGAATAGAAGGAGGCTAGTCAGCTCCCCAAAACATGTTTAGGTACAGTAACATATTGACAAAAGAATTTCAAAAGCTAAATTTAGTTAATATAATTCCATCATTCAGTTAAAATAGCAGTGATCGTATCGTAGCTCCATTCACCTGCCTTTGTTCCATAACTCCTAATACCAATATCCAACAAAAACCTATTCATCTCCATTTTTGAAATTTTCAATTGACTTCCAATTTCAGTGTAATGTGGGGGCAGAATTCCAAATTTCCAGTAATCTATATAAGAAGAACTGCATCCTGCCATCACTACTGAATGATGTGGCTCAAATTTTGAAATTAATACCCACCTTGTTCTGGAATTCTTCATGCCAGAAAAAATAACTTTGTCCATATCTACCTTAATGAATGCTTTAATTACCTTTAAACAGCAGCTTATAATTCTAATCAACCAACTTAGTTAAGCATTTGTAACTCTCCACCAGTAGTGGCATGTTGGCCATTGACACATGAACTAGTTGTTATTAGTCCCACTGTCCACCAAAGTTTACATGCACAGGGCCTACTGTGTTTATTTTGATTTTTGTGAAAAGTTGGTTAGTAATGGGTATTTTAACTATTTCTGGAAAGTTCTACATTATACATCTTCCAAATTGTCCACAGAATTCAACCATTTCTCTGGAGAAAAAGTGCAAAAGACACTATATTTGCAGTACATTCAAGAAACCCGCATCTACTGAAATAATTCCATTCTCTCCACTGATCTCCATTTACTCTGACAAACTGAAAGCCTTCCTTTGTAACTATAATAGTCATGTGGTCAGGTTTTCTTAGACTTTTGACTGCTCATAGCTGTGGTCAAAGTTGGAGTCCTATCAGCTACTTTAGTCTACTGAGAGTCTGCCATTTTCGGAATGACAAGTGTCTATTTTAAACCCAACCACTTTAATGAAATGTAAAAAGAATCCCTGCTTCTCAGTGAGGTTTAACTTGGGTCAGCAAATGCCTGTACTGAAAATTTCTTTCCATGTCCATTGAATATTCTCTGATACAACATAATATATAACAGAATCTTGTATTTTGTTCATTCGTTGGATTTGTGCTTTCCTAGCTGGAACAGCATTTAATGTCCATCCATAGTTGCGCTTGAGAGGGTGATGGTGAGCTACCATCTTGAACTACTGCAATCTGTTTGGTCAAGGTAAACTCAATACCGTTCAGCAAAGAGCTGCATTGAAGCATTTGGATCCAGGGACAGTGAAGCAACAGTGCTGTATTTCCAAGTAGGATTATAAACAATTGTGGACTGAAATGAGAAGGAACTGTTTTAAATTTTTCTGAAACAATGGCTGCATGTTTTGAAAAGCAAGAAACCTGATTCACATCAGCTATCGTAAAATAGTTGCTTGAATAAGCAATAATTGAAGTGGTTGCAGATGAGGAGGAGCTGAGGACTTGTATACAGATGCAGCTGGGTGGTAACAGATGTTGATTGGTCTATGGACTAGTGCGCAGTTGTCAATGTCAAGGGCCTTTTGTTTGCCAACACTCCTGTAATTGGTTCTCAGCTAACTGAACCGCCTGAAACAAGATACAGAGAAGGATTTTGTTCTGCATCGGCTCAAGGGCTATCTCTTGGTTTTCTGCAGTCAAAACTTACTTTAAAATTGAAGAAAACCAGTTAATCTTTCCCCAGCAGTTGCTGTAAGCTGTGACTTTTAATTGATAAATCAAAGACATTTTACCTGTGCTTTTTGCAAATAGTGGAAACATTCAGAAAAGGGAAGCCAAAAAGAAACTTCTGTATCCACAAAAACTAACTCCATAGAATTTGTGGACAAAGACCACTGTACTATCTTTCCAGTTTTCCGTTCCATCCATGTGTTTTTTGCCCTGTACGTACATCAGTCTGTCTGCATGTATAGGGCGGGAGGGTTTGGTTTTAAGGAAGTCAGAGTGTTAATTAATAGTGTTATGTGTTGATGGTTTATAAGTGTTTACCTGTGACTGGAATCTAATTAATTGTAATAAATAGAAATTCTTTAGTTCAAAAATCTGGTCCATGCTTTCTATCAACCTAGGTCTGAAAATCAGGCATACTGGGAAATTTTGTGTACATTGTGTACATAAACCTGAGGCTTTTTATAAGTATATTAAGAGTAGGAGGATTACAAGGGAAAAGAGTGGGACCTATTAGAGACCATAGTGGCAACCTGTGCATGGAGCCATTGGACATGGGTGAGATCTTAAATGAACACTTCTCATCTGTATTCACAGAGGAGAAAGACATTGTAGCCAGGGATTTCATTTAGGATGGTGAGACTCTAGAACACGTTAAGACTAATAAAGGAGGAGATCATAGAGTCATATAGCACAGAAACAGACTCTTCAGTCCAACCAGTCCATGCCAGACGTAATCCCAAATTAAACTAGTCCCACCTGCCTGCTCCTGGTCCCTATCCCTCCAAACCTTTCTTATTCGTCTACTTTCCAAATGTCTTTTAAACATTGTAATTGTACCCACATCCACCACTTCCTTGGGAAGTTCATTCCATACACAAACCACCCTCTGTGTAAGAAAATTTGTCCCTTGTGTCTTTTTTAAATGTCTCCCCTCTCATCTTAAAAATGTGCCCCCTAGTCTTGAAATCCCCCATCCCAGGGAAAAGACAACTACCATTACTTCTATCTATACCCCTCATGATTTTATAAACTTCTATAAGGTTGCCTCTCAAAATTCTACGCGCCAGTGAAAAATGTCCCAACCTTTCCAACCTTCCTTTATAACTCAAACCTTCCATACCTGGAACATCCTGGTAGGTATTAGATGTTTTAGTGGACATACAGGTGCACACACCCCCAGAGCCTGCTGAGATATATTCCAGGCTGCTATGGGAGGCAAGGGAGGAGATTGCTGGGGCCCAGCAGATATACTTAATTCTATGCTGGCCACAGGTGAAGTGACAGATGACTGGAGGATAGTTAATATGGTTCCTTTGTTCAAGAAGGACAGCAATTTCAGACCAAGTAGTGTGATATCAGTTGTAGGGAAATTATTGGAAGAAACCTCTGAAGGACTGGATTAGTCAATACTTGGAAATGCAAAGATTGACCAGGGATAGCATGGATTTGTCAGAGTCTGACTAATTTAGTTGAGTTTTTTGAAAAGGTGTCTAAATATTTTGGTGAGAGTAGCGCAGTTGATGTGGTTTTCATGGACTTCAGTAAGGCCTTTGACAAGGACCCATTTGAAAGGTTGATCCAAAAAGTAAGAGCCCGTGGGATCCAAGGCAATTTGGCAAACTAAATCCAAAATAAGCTCACAATTAGGAGGCAAAGGTTGATGATGGAGGGTTATTTTTGTAATTGTAAGTCTGTGATCAGTGGTGTGACATAGGGATCGGTTCTGTGACCCTTGCTGTTTGTTATCTACATTAATGACTTAGATGTGGATGTAGGAGGTATCTTTAATAAGTTTGCAGATGACTTGAAAATTGATGGTTATTGATAGTGACAAGGATGGTCTCAGGCTACAGTCTGATAATGATAAGATGGTAAATCGGGCAGAGCACTGGCAGGTGGAATCTGATGCCGATAAGTATGAGGTAATGCATTTTGGAGGTCTAATAAAGGAAGGATTTCTACAATGAATGGTAGATCCCGAGGAAGTACTGAGGAACAAAGAGACCTTGGTGTACACATCCATGGATCCCTGAAAGTGTCAGCATAGGTAAGGAAGGTGGTGAAGAGGTCATATAGGATGTTTGCCTTCATTAGCCGGGCCTAGAATATAGGAGCATGGAAGTCTTGGTACAACTTTATAAAACATTGGTTAGGCCACAGATGGATTACTGTGTGCAGTCTAGTTGCCACAGTATTGGAAGGACAGTATTGAACTGGAGAGGATGCAGAGGAGATTCACCAAGATGTTGCCTGGGATGAAAAGTACTGGTTATAAGGAGAGACTGGATAGGCTGGGTTTGTTTTTCTTGGAGCATGGTGGCTCAGTGGTTAGCACTGCTGCCTCAGTGCCAGGGACCTGGGTTCAATTTCAGCCTCAGGCAACTGTCTGTTTGGAGTTTGCATGTTCACCCCGTATCTGCGTGGATTTCCTCCGTGTGCTCCGGTTTCCTCCTACAGTCCAAAGACGTGCAGATTAGGGGGATTAGCCATGCTAAATTGCCCATAGTGTCCAGGGATGTGTAAATTAGATGGATTAGCCATAGGAAATGCAGGGACAGGATAGGGGGTGAGTCTAGATGGGATGATTTTCAGAGAGTCGGTGTGGACTTATTCGGCCGAATAGCCTGTTTCCACACTGTAGGGACTCTATGATGATGAGCAGAGGAGGCTGAGGGGTGATCTGATTGAGGTATACAAAATTATGAGAGGCATAGACAGTGTAGATCATGACAATCCCATGGCAACTGTGTCTAAGACCATGGGCATACATTTAAGGTAATGGACAAGTGGTTTAGAGGAGATCCAAGGAAATATTTTTTCACTCGGAGGACTGTACATCTATGGAATGTGCTGCCTAGAGGGTGGTGGAGGCAAGTACTCTCGCAACATTTGGGAAGCATCTGGATGAGTACTTGAAATGGCAGGGCACAGTAAGCTATGGACCAATGGCGGATAAATGGGTTTAGTATAGTTTGGTGTTTTATGGTCAGCATTGATATGGTGAGCCAAAGGCCCCATTTCCGTGTTGTAGTTTAAAACCTTAACTTTTATGAAGCTGTGAGAATAATGGGTTTGATTTCCAGTGCATTGCCCTGTGAGTCAAGTCAGGCTGGTTAGTGGCTTGCAGGTGGTGGTGCTCCTGTCTGGTGCCTTTGTCCTGCTACATAGTAGCAGTTGTGAGTTTGGAAGGTTCAGTCCTTAGAAGCCATGATGAACTTCTGTAATGCATCTTGTAAGTGATAGACACCCTGGCTACTGTACTTTCAATGGTGAAGGGAGATAATGTTTGTGAACCTGTTGCCAGTCAAGAGGATTGCTTTGTTCTGGATAGTGTCAAGTTTCCTGAGTGTTGTTGAAGCTGCACTTATCCAGGCAAATGGAGAATATTCCATCACACCTCTGACTTGTGTCTTTAAATAATGAACAAGTTCTGGGGAATCAGGAGATGAGTTACTTGCTGCAGGATTCCTAGCGTCTGATCTGCTGTTGTAGCTAGAGTATCTATAAGGCTAGTCCAGTTCAGTTTCTTGTCACTGATACCCCCAGGATGTGGATTCAATGATGGTAATGCAATTTAATAGGTGGTTAGATTCTCTCTTGTTGAAGATGGTCATTTGCTTGGTACTTGTGTGGCATGAATGTTATTTGCCTTGTGTCAGCCCAAACCTGGATATTGTCCAGGCCTTGCAGCATTTAGTCATGATTTGCTTCACTATCTGAAGAGTTGCAAGTTGTGGGAGAGAGTGTCTTTGTCTTTGTCTGCTGCAACATGGTAATCAGCAGGAGGTCCTGACATATGGATAGGGCATACCCAGGCATGGTGGTGGTGTAGTCTAGGAACATTTGCCATGGTGGAATTCAAACCCAGGTCTCCAGAGCATAACCTGGGACTCTGGATTAGTAGACCAGCAATAATTTCACAATACCATTGCCTCCCTCCATACAGGACAGAATGGGTCATTTAGCCCGTTGTGCCTGTGTTGATGTTTTGAAAGAGCTAACTAATTAGACTCACTCCCCTGTTCTTTCTGCAGAGCGTTGCAATTTTTTAAGCATTTATCCAATTCCCTTTAGAAATTTGTTGTTAATCTGTTTCCATAAACTTTCAGGTACTATATTTCCAGATCTGATAACTCATTGTATGAATTGGTTTCTCCTCATTTTGCCTCTGGTTCTTTTGCCAGTTACCCTCAAACGCTTATAACTTTGTTTTGCTCTTCATTTTAGTGCTGGCTGTTTCTTTGGTGATGAAGTTAGGTTGCCATCACAAGTGTCTATCAGCAGCGAAGTTGATTTCTCCTTAGAAATGGACAAACTGGCAAAGAAAACTGAAAATGTTCTTGAAACAATTGGTGAGCGTGCAGGTTGTCCACATGCCAGTGGAGACAGAGATGGAGATGTTGCTTCCAGGCCTGACATTGAGAAAAAATATGCTGATGTTGCAAATATATTTGAGACCATCCCTTTAATGGAAATATCTTCAGAGAAATGGACACAACCTGTTGCTGAACGATCTGTTTCCCAAGCTCCATATTTGATGGACCAAGGGGGACCTTTGCAGCATGGTGCTGAATTGATTATTGTTCACTCAGACTCCAACATAATGAGCTCAGACCCGGCTGAAACATCCAGTGTTTCTTCTGTAGGCACCTATCCTTTTGGAATCGAAGAACACTGTGTGTCTGATGAGCACCCACTCTGGGCCTGGATCAGTGGAGGAGGTTGTGAAGTAGAAGCTCACACCCAACTGAACTGGTTCACTCCCCAGTCAGGTAGTCAGTCTCTTACATTCTTATTGTTTATACTATTCCTGAGCAAATACAGCTGGTAATAATAATGTTAATACTGTTGCAGCTATAATGCACCAATGGAAGTTAACATCTGTCCTTGGTGTCACAGTATATCCTTAACATATTTTATTCATTGAATGCAAGTCTCAACTGGCTTTCCATCCTGGCTAATTTTTGTTGCCTCAAGAGTTGGGTTTTCAGCCTCCCACCTTACAAGCTCCTTAAGCTTGAACTCATCCAAAGGAGAACACACCCATGGTGGCTCAGTGGGCAGCACTGCTGCCTCACGGTGCCAGCGACAGGGTTTCAATTCCAGTCTTGGGTGACAGTCTGTGTGAAGTTTGCACATTCTTCCTGTGTCTGCACAGGTTTCTGCCTGGTGTTCCGGTTTCCTCCCACAGTCCAAAGATGTGCAGATGAGGTGGTTTGGCCATGCTAAATTTGCCCCATAGTGTCTAGGATGTGCAGGATAGATGGAACAGCTATGGTAAATGTGGTGTTATGGGGATGGGGTGGCAGGTGGGTCTGGGTGGAACGCTCCTCGGAAAGTCGGTGCAGACTTGATGGGCCAAATGGCCTCAATCTTCAATATAGGGATTCTATAAAATATTTTTCTGCTAACCCCCATTCTAACCCACACCAGGTCCAGTTTACTCATCAGCCCCCTGTACTCTGTGCTCTTGGTCTGACAATATTATGAAAAATAGTTTCAAACTAAGATGTGAAAAGAACAAAAGGAAATACTGATTGAAACAGTGCAAGGCAAAATCATATCTTGTAATAGAAGTAAAATCTCTGAAATCATTTAATTAACTATTAAACACCTATTGGACTAAACGGACAAAGCCTAAAATCTAGGGCCAGGCAATTCAGTAATGAAGTTAAGACTCAAAAGAGTGTTAGAAGTTTGGAAATCTGTTCCAAAAATAGCATTGATGCTGACTCAACCAGTAGTTTTAAATCTGAGAATGGTAATTTTCATTAACTGACGATATTACAGGACTTGGGGCAAATGCAAAATATCAAGTTAGGTCACAGGGGCAAACATGAGGCTGAATTTAACAGGGGTGATGCTGCTCTGAAGAAATATCTTTTCCCAAATGATAAACTTCTAAAAGTCCTGCCCACACAGAGGTAACACATCAGGATGACTTTTAAAAAGCTGATGGTTGGTGTATGTTCTGCCCTTGAGAGCTGCCAGCCAATGTGATTGACCCAGCAGTCCCAGCAGTCATAGTTATAGAATCATACAACATGGAAACAGACCCTTCAATCCAACACATTCATGCCGACCAAGTTTCCCAAATTAAACTAGTCCCACTTGCCTGCGTTTGACCCATATCCATCTAAACCTTTCATATACATGTACCTGTACAAATTTTTTTAAAAATTTATAACTGTACCGGCATCTACCGCTTCGTCTGGCAATTCACTCCACATATAACCCACCTCTGTGTGGAAAAGTTGTCCCTCAGGTCCCTTTTGAACCTTTCTCCTCTCACGTTAATTAAAGGCCCTCTAGTTTTGAACTCCCCTACCTTAGGGAAAAGACCTTTGCTATTCACCTTTTCTGCGTCCCTCATGATTTATAAACCTCTGTAGGGTTACCTTTCAATCCCCTATTTTCCACTGAAAAAAGTCCCACCTTCTCCTTGTAACTCAGTGAACACAGCAGTGGGTACATCTCAGACTGTTAGAAATTGTGGATGACATCAGAACACAAAGATGGCCTCTGCTTATAGGTTGGAAAGAGATCAGGCATCCTTTTTGGAGGCTAGATGGGAAGGAACAAGGTGGCTTGAAAGATGTGGTGGGGGAATGGGAGACACCCCCAGTGCACACATAGGCTCAACTAAGTGGTTTGCTGCCCTCTTATTTTCCATTCTGAAAAGTTGGCCTTTCCACTCACCAGCTGCTACTGCCAGGGTTTTATGGCAATGGAGAGAAAATCCAGACTATGATTTCTTTGAACAGTGATACAGATCTGAGGGGCCAAGTAGCCAATGACTATCACTGTGTTCCTTTGCTGGCGATTGCAGTCTTTTTTGAATGAATGAGTTAAAATTAATGGAACAGATTTTTAAAGGCCTTCTCATTGCACTGCTAATCGCTGCAGTCGTTTTCATCCAAAATATTTAGCAAAATGATATATCATTCAGAATAAAACATTGAGATTCAAAAGCATTGTTGTGATTATATTCCTAATATTCAAAAACATAGAAAAAAATTCTCAGTTTTTAGTTTTGTTCTGGTATTACATTTCACAAAAGCACTATCTTCAAACAGGTTTCTTATATTGTTTCCAACTGGGTTTAGGTCACAAGAATGGCAGGATTTATCTGAAATGAAAAAGAGAGAGACTTGTTCCACCATATGTTTTTTCCATGATTTTGCAGGACAGCCATTTTCTCAGCAGTCATTCTCAATGCCTATTAGCTGCACCCAGCAAACAGTTTGGCGGAAACAGATAGTTCATCAGTTAACTGAACGGTCCAAACGGGAGCTGCAGGATTTTAAACATTATGAGCAAGCAGTGGAGCAGGTAAGGTGGTTCCACCATCTCAAAGACTTGTATTTATATTCCTCTTTCAGGACACCCCAAGCATTTTATAGTCAATGAAGCATTTGTTAAAATACAGTCACTGTTGTAAGATAGGATATATTACACCAATTTGCACACAGTGTACTCTCACAAATAGTAATGTGATATTGTCAGGCTCTCAGTTTAGTATTAGGTTCAAAAGCTGCTCCTCAAACTGTGTAACATTTCTTCTGTACATCCAGTCTAAATGTGTGCTTAAGCCTTTGAATTAGGTATTGGGGGAAATGGGGGAACAAGGAAATGAGTTGCATGATCAGCCATGATCATATTGAATGGAAGAGCAGGCTTGAGGGACTGAATGGCCTACTCCTGCTCCTATTTTCTATGTTTCTAAACAATATTCTTCTGGTTCAGAGGCAACTATTGTGCCTACAGATCCCCAGCTGCCACAGGATAAATTGAATACTTAGATTATTATATCATAATGTTTCTCCCAGTTTATGTTTTTAATCTTTGTCTAATTTATAAAAAATGTTTTGCCAGGTCATTCTTGTAATGCAGAGCTATTCTTGTTTTGTTGTAAAATGTCAAAGTAACCAGTACCTAAGGAGCTGCATATTTCAATTTGTTTAACAAGTGATTTTCCATCCTTGTGAGCTAGGGTTCTTAATCTTGTAATGATGAGAATGTTGCCTATTATTTAGAGATGGATAAACCTGCTTCCAGTGATTCATAACTATTCTTTTCTCTGTTATACCACTCTGTATGCCTAGTCCGTATGGATAAAAAAGGGAGCAATGCAATGGTGGAGAGATGGAAAGCCCCACAAATGGATAGACGTCAAGGTAGCACTGGAACAGTTTACAGGGAATGATGGAAAACGGGATGGCATCTTTTTCATTTACTACACATTCAATGATGAGAAGAAGGTGAGTACTGTTTGTTAATTCTGTGGTCCGGCTATCTTTACGCCAGAAACAGGACTGAATGCTACAGGATATGTAAACTAGATCTTTGTTAAATGTACTTAGCTGCTTCAAGGGGAATTCATGTAATCCACTACATAATTCAGTCTGTGGAGTCGAGCTGGAGATATTTGGAGAACAGTTTTGATCATGGTATTTAAATAAGCTAAAATGTGTGGAAACAGCAAGGTGGATAACAGTCATGAATTGAATTATTTGTGCTGCAGATGGAGTTTATCCTTGCAACAACTTAACCATTGTGTAAGTTAAATACTGTAGTGCTTCTGGAGAAGTATTTTTAGTTATAAATAAATTTAATCATTAATATTAGCCTGATCACTACAGTTTGGATTTGGTTTATTAATTAATTATTGAAGTACACAGGACAAGGAATCGATTTAGAGTCATAGAGTCATAGAGATGTACAACATGGAAACAGATCTGTCCAACTCGTCCATGCCGACCAGATATCCTAAATTAATCTAGTCTCATTTGCTGGCATTAGGAACATATCCCTCTGAACCCTTCCTATTCACATACCTATCCAGATGCCTTTTATATGTTGTAATTGTACTAGCCTCCATCACCACCTCTGGTAGCTCATTCGTACACGCACCACCTCTTGAAAAGAAAACAGAAATTGTTGGCGAAACTCAGCAGGTCTGGCAGCATCTGTGAGAAGAAAGCACAATTAACGTTTTGAGTCTGGTAACTCCTCATCCGAACTGATAGAAAGAAACTCCTGCTGAGTTTTGCCAACAATTTCTGCTTTTGTTTCAAATCTCCAGCATCCATAGTTCTTGTTTTATTATAGAATAAGTGTCTTGTTTGACTTGGTCAGAAACATAAATTCCGGTGACACTCAGTCTTATTTATTTCATATTAAACAAAAAGCAGGTTAGTTCAAATGAGGTACAATTTCTACCCAAGTAGTTAGGAATCTGTTGTACGTGAAATAAGTGTTGGGATGGCACCTAGGTTCGTCATCTGATTTACATTCTTTCCAGCACTTTGCTTCTGCACTGCACTTTGATGCTTTCCCAAAAGAACTTGATGAAGCATATCATAAATTTAGCTGGAGGTGAGTTAGCCTAATCCTATAAACAATTTATGCAATTCCATTTCAATGGATCTTTTGCTGCTGTACTGTTCACGTTCTTTGGACTTCTGAATTAAATAAAAGTCAAAACACACCCCTTTGTCAAGAATGAGGTTTTCTGATTACAGATTATGTACACGTTCTCTATTTCTGGCACATGTTATGTTGAAGTGTTACTTGTATTATACTTCCAGCATTGAGAGTTAATCCTCCTACACCATGTATCTTCACATCTGCAGGCTGTAACTTTTGTTTCTTTAGCCATGGGTTTTGATCTGATAGGACAGTGATTCACCCCTGTTAAAATGTGCAACTCTCAGTTGGATTCAGGTCAACTGAAAATTTTAAAATGAAAATTGATAGATTCATGTTGAGTACAGGCATTTAAGGGTTCAGGAACCAAGACGCTAATAAAGTTAGAATACAAATCAATTATGATCTGATTGAATGGCAGAACAAGCTAGAGGGGCTAAATTGCCTCTTTATTTACTGGTGTTCAAGAAAGTAGCAAATGAAAGAACATAATGGAAGGATATAGCTCACTCAGAGATAGCAAGAACTGCAGATGCTGGAGTCAGAGATAACAAGGTGTGGAGCTGGAGGAACACAGCAGGCCAGGCAGCATCCGAAGAGCAGGAAAGTTGACGTTTTGGGTCGGGTCTGAAGAAGAGTCCCAACCTGAAATGTTAACTTTTCTGCTCCTCTGATATAATGGGAGGATAGTCTGGAGTATAGGTGTTCGTCCCACCCCTCCTACTTCCCACTAGATTTGAAAGTTGCCAATTACATAGGAACAGGAGCAGGCTATTCAGCCCTTTGGACCTGTTCCGGCATTCAATGAGATCATGGCTGATTTGTGGCCTAACTCCACAGATCTGTCTATATTCCTTAATACTTTTGCTTAACAAGAATGTGTCTATCTCAGAATTAAAATTAAAAGTTGATTTAGCAAGAACTGTTGTTTGTGGAAGATAGCTCATTTTCATTTTGGTCAAATCATAGAATCCCTACAGTATGGAAACAGGCCCTTCGGCCCAACAAGTCCACACCAACCCTCAGACCATCCCACCCAGACCCATACCCAGACACCATGGGCAATTTAGCATGGTTAGTCCACCTCACCTGCACATCTTTGGACTGTGGGAGGAAACCGGAGCACCCGGAGGAAACCCACGCAGACACGGGGCGAATGTGGAAACTCCACACAGACAGGTGCCCGAGTGTGGAATCGAACTCGGGTCCCTGGCACTGTGAGGCAGCAGTGCTAACCACTGAGCCACCGTGCTGCCCCAAATCACACCAGCAAATCTTGCATCACCTGGCTCAGTAGAGCCTAGATTGGAGAGCTTGTTCTCGGGTGGCTTGGGCGACTTGTGTGTAAAGAAAAATGTGCCTTAACCCCGAAGAGAAGTTACAAAGCCAGTTTAAAAAATGCCCCCTGTGAGTGGAAAGGCTGTGACCAGCCTACACTTGTGTTCTCCTAGCCGTATCTCACAGTGATGAGATTCCACCTAGTCTAAGGTATTGAGCCCTAAGCTATTTAACAAACATATGTTAATGGAGAATAAGAGTACATTAAGCACAAAGATAAAATATGCCTTTTTTATGAATAGTGCTGATTTTCCTCGAATAATCACTCTTTGAGTGTTCTTTGTAGATATATTTTCTAACATTTTAATACTCTTTCACTTGTCTGATTTATTTTTTCTTTAAAATATTACAGTACCTTCACGTGTTTTCAAATGAAATTACAATTTTGGTTCCGATTGCTAATGAAACAAAACACTCATTTGCTATTTATACTCCTGAGCGCACAAAGCAGAGATGGCCAATCAGGTTGGCAACAACTACTGAGCAAGAAATGTATGACTGGGTAAGTAGTCAAAGCAGAGATGATTCAGTATCTTAACCTTTTCCCGGAGGTCAGTGTGTATTCTGCCATGGAGTTGCTACCTATATAAATAGTCTTCACGATGGTGAAATCCCATGTTGATAGATTCCTGCTGTCTGAACCCAGCAGCTGAAAAATAGATTACGCTTAATTTATGAAAAATAAAAGGCATTTTATATGAGAACAAGTACATTGGATTCAGGTGAGATTTCTTACCACAGAAAGTGGTTAGAATGTAGAATTCGCTATCACAAGGAGAAGTTGAAGCAAAATAGCATAGCTACATTTAAGGGAAAGCCAGAAATGAAGTAGAAAGAAGTAGAGTGAAGTGCTAATATGATGCACTGAAGAAACTTTCAGTGGAGCATACCAAATGACCTACAAATATTTTGTAATACCTTGCAATAACTGGGATCAGAATTATATGCCACTGATGCATGTGTGATGGTGTATGGATGCATGTGTGAGAGTGTATAGTGTGGTGGGGTCACCTGTAGCACGACATGAACCCAAGATCCCGGTTGAGGTCGACCTCCTGGATACTGAACTCGGCTATCAGCCTCTGCTCGGCAACTCTCCATTGTTTTCTATCCCGAAGTCTGCCTTGGAAGACGTTTACCTGAAGATCTGAGGCTGAATGTCCTTGACCGCTGTCATTCGACATTCGGATCTTCAGGAAAACGTCCTCCGTGGCGGACTTCGGATACACAACAAAGGAGAGTCATCAAGCAGAGGCTGATAACCGAGTTCGGTACTCATGAGGAACGGCCTCAACCGGGATCTTGGGTTTATGTCATGCTACAGGTGACCCCACCACACTATACACTCTCACACATGCATCCACACACACACACACACACACACACACACACACACACACACACACACACACACACGTGAATCTATGGGGTGAATTCATATTTGCAGATTCATTTCACTTTGTTCAAAAAGCACACAATTTATAGACAGTCTGTGAATATGATGTTTTATAAACTCCTACTTTAGAAATAAAATGAATCTGACTTCAAACTAAAGTACAAACAAATTCTAAACAAGGTCTAACACTTAGCATGCATTGTCTGACCTAAAATGTCACCTCCTCTTTACACTGTTAAAATCTTTAGTTTTGTCAGGACCGTGACTTGAAAGGAATTTGGGGATTTACATATACATATTAATCAATTAAAACCTTCTAACTGATTAAGGTTTAACAGCATCTTAGATTTGCTTAGTACATCCTCATCAATGGTGTGAATCTTTGAACTTTTACTTATAAATTCTGTGTCTGAAACTACCTCTCTCACTAACACCTGGAGAGGGACTGAGGCTCCGAAAGCTTGTGTTTTCAAATAATCCTGTTGGACTGTAACCTGGTGTCAAGTGATTTCTGACTTTGATGAAAGCATGACAGCCAATTTATACATAGCAAGATTCCACAAGCAATCGGATAAGTAACAAGTTAATCTGTTTCATTCTGATTTTGATTGAGGTATAAGTATTAGACAAATCTCGCTGAAGAACTCTCCTGCTTTTCTCAACCAGAAGACAGCAATTACAACATAGCAGCATTCCCTCAGTTTTAGTACTAGGAGCGTCAGCCTATATTTCATACCTGTCAGTGCTGGCTGAGGCTGTCTATGTTTGTGAAGATCCCAGCATAGTTCACAGAATTGTGATCTGGAACAAAAACCCTGCTGGATTTTTATTTCTCTTTTTTGGCCAGCGAGTGTGGTATTGTAAGATCCCATTGCCCTATGAAGGAGAATTGCAACCAACTAAATATAAACGAAGAATTGTAGCTGGGAAATTCTTGCTCATCATCACCCACATAATCACTGAACCTTCCTGGCAGTCTGTGATGTGATATGAATTTTAGATGTGACCTGGGGAACTTGTCTGTGGTATAACTTCTTATTTGCTTTTATTTTAACAATTTCTTTGCAGAGCAGAACTGTATAGTACAAGTAAGAAGCAAGTTATTGTGCAGTGGTCATTTTCAATAAAGTGACCAGACAAAGGTAGCTATGTGACTCAGCACATAACTTGCTTTGTCTTGGAGACTTGTAGGGCATGACCTTGTATCAGGCTTCTCGATTAGGTTCAGAAAAGTCTAGGAACAAATGCTTCCCTATAAAAGGAGCTATATCAACTCTAGAAAGAATCATTGTACAGCTATATCTCAAATAAATAATTTGATTTGATTACTCCCTTCTACCACTTAATTTTTTCACTCATCCTCTCCTGGAGACATTGAAGTTGACAATATGTCTTGGTATCCTATTTGACTATGAAAAGGGGTGCGCTAGATTCACAAGGAACCTCTGATATCCATAGACATCCTTTTCAAATCTGGGCACCACACTTTAGGAAGGATGCAAAGGCATTAAGGAAAGCATGGAAGAGATTTGCAAAAATAGCGCCAGGAGTGAGAAATTTCAGTTATGAAGTTTGTTTGGAGAAGTTAGGACTGTTTTCCTTGGAGCTAGGTCTGCGATCAGATTTGATAGGGTTTTAAAAATCATGAGAGGTCTGGACAGAGTGGATATGGTGAAGCTGTTCCTGCTCATGATCAGACTGAGAATGAGATCACACAGCTTTAAAATAATTGCTAAAAGAAACAAAAATGGCACATAGAAAAAGCTTTGTCTTACACTGACTGGTTACTGGAACGCATTGTAAAGGGTGTGGTTGAGTTAGGTTCAATTGAATCATTCAAAAGGGAATTAGACTGTAATGTGAAAAGGGAGAATGTTCAGGTTTACAGGGAGAAAAGCAGGAAAATGATTTAAATTATTCATTTAGAGAACTAATGCAGACACAATGAGCTAAATAACTTCCTTTTGTGCTGTAACAATTCAGTGATTCTGTAGCTGCTGATAGAATTATATCAGCATCAGACACACAATAGGTTCTCTCCCTTTAATATCACTTTATTCGCAAAACAACGAAGTATGAGAACAAATCTTGTACTTGAAATTTAAAATCAGTGAAATTTGTAAAAGGCATCGTAGTGCTATATTAACTGATCATTTAAAAAAATTTCTTAATACACCAAATTAAGGAGTTTTTGATCAGCATAGTCAGCCCAAAATCCTCCAAGATCTCTGCTTATCTCCAATTCTGGCTTCTTTCACATCCAAATCTTAATTGCCCCATGTTGGCAGCTATGTGTGTATCTAACTGGGCTCTAAACTCTGAAATTCCCTCCATAAACATCTTGGCCTCGCTCTCCTCCTTTATGCACCTATACTCCTCAAATGCCACCTCTGGCATTTTTGGTCACCTGTCCTAATATTTCTGTATATGGTTCAGAGTTGATTTTTAGTTGATAGCACTCCAATGAAATGCCATTCAAAGTATAATATGTAGATGCAAATTGTTGTTTCCAATGGTCAAGTGGAAAAATGTATATTTTTACTAGCCATCTACAGCAGGCAGTTTTATCCAAAAAAAGTCACTCTTGTCTTATATTTATGTTATATTTTGTAATACTATATGTGTTTTACTACAGCTCGCTGTTCTGAGTTTAGCATGCTGTGACAGCAGGGATCTCCATGGACCCCCATCTAACCAGGCCCTTTGGTCTGTCACGTGTAAAGGAGATATTTTCATCAGCGAGCCAACCCCGAATCTGGAAGCAGCGCAACATCCTTTGCCAAGTGACCAATTGTAAGTCGTCTTCCCTTTGTTGGAATGCCCACATCTAAACAATAATGCAGCATCTATAATGTAGAAAAAGGGGTTTACAAAGCTGTTGGATTGTTATTAAAAAACGTAATTGGTTCGCTAATGTCCTTCAGGAAGGATACTTGCCTCCCTTAACTGCCTTAGCTTAGTGTAATTCCAATTCCACACTGTCGTGGATTACCTTTCTTGGCCTTCTGAAGTGGCCTAATATAAAACCAGAACTAGCAGTTCAAGAAAACTATCCAACACCATCACATTGTAAGGGAAACTAGGGATCTGCACAAACATCAGTAATATTTGAAGGCATAGAACGGATGGTAATAGTTCATTCATTAGATATTGATCTGATTTCCTTACCACACGAATAGAAAGAGAGAAGCTTCAGTGCACAGTGCTGATACGAGTGTATATTTTAAATCCTACAGAGTAAAATGTGGAAAGCTCACACCATGTAATATTTCCACTTGCAATTCACCATTTGCTAAACTTTTCAAAAGTCTACAGGTGTTTCCAAAACAGACGGAAGTTAAGCTTTCATTAAACGATTTCTCTGTATGTAAAGGCAACACCTTTGAATTCCCTCCATTATAAGGTCAGAAGTGAGGATGTTTACCAGTGATTGCACAATGTTCAGCACCATTCACAACTCCTCGCACTGAAGTAGTCCATGCTCAAATGCAACAAGATCTGGACAATATCCAGGCTTGGGATGACAAATAGCAAGTGACATTCGCACCACACAATTGCCAGGCAATTACCTTTTCCAATAAGGGACAAACTAACGACTGCCCCTTGATGATATCCAATTGTGTTACCATCACTGAATCCTGGGGGTTGCCAGTGACCAGAACCTCAATTGGACTCACCATATAAACAGTGGCTTCAAGAACAGGCCAGAGTCTAGAAATACTGTGGTAGGTAACTCACCACCTGAATCCCCACTTGCCTGGATGGGTACAGCTTGAACAACATTCAAGGAACTTGACCCCGTCCAGGACAAAGCAGTCCGCTTGATTGGCACCACATCCACAAGCACCCTTCCACCACTGATGCACAGTGTGTAATATCTACAAGAAGCACTGCAGAAATTCACCAAAGGTCCTGAGACCGCATCTTCCAAACCCACAAACATTTACATCTAGAAGGACAAGGCAGCAGATACCTGGGAACACCACCAGCTGCAAGTTCCCCTCCAAGATATTCACGACCCTGACTTGGAAATATATCTCCATTCCTTCTCTGTCACTGGGTCAGAATCCTGGAATTCCCTAAGGACATTGTGGGTCAAACTGCAACATGTGGACTGCAGTGGTTCAAGATAGCAACTCATCACCATCTTCTCAAAGGCATCTAGGGACAAGCAGTAAATGCTGGCCATCCAGCAACGCCCACTTCCCATGAGTGAATGAAACAAAATTGTGCATGGTTTTATACTAATGCACTGCCTGAGAATACATGAAGTAAATTCTGTGCTGACTTTCAAAAGAAGATTAAGTAAGCACTTTAAAAATTAAGTATGTGCAAGGTAACATGTTAAGAGTGGGGCAGTGGGACTAATTGGATCGTGTTTTCAGAGAGTTGACACAGGCATGTTGGGTCAAATGGCCTCCTGCCAAATTACAATTCTAAAATTGTCTTCTGTAGGTATTGGCGTCAGATTGGAGGACATCTCCGTATCATTGAATCCAACAGCCAAGGAATTGTGTGGGGCATTGGATATGATCACACAGCCTGGGTGTACACTGGTGGATATGGAGGTGGCTTTTTTCAAGGTGATTCATCTTAATTGCATTCCTTGCATGTTAATTTATTTTATAAACAACCCTCATTACCCTAGAGCTATGGTCAACAAGCTCACTATTTCTATGTTGTGTTATCCTATGAATGTACTTCTAGGTTGCCCGCCCAATTACTTCTTTGGTTGTCTGCTAGGTGGGGTTATGGACTACAGTATGTTTCCTCTGTAAGCAGCTTCTGCTTTGCACCTTCCCATTTACTGCAGCTTGCGTCAGGAAATAAACCAGAAATTCACCTTTTATTCTGGAGTTAAGGCTCATTACATTTGTATTGTGAGTTCTTCATTCCTCATCAATGGTTCACTTGTTCCTTATCCAAAAGTCTCAGAACTTTGTAATTGTTGGAAGAGCTTCAAGCCTGCACAGATGAAGGTAGTGATGTGGGAAAGAAAGTGTGAGATCCACAAAAGAACACATTTCAAGGAATGCAGAGTTCTCAGAGAGCTGTAGAGCTGGGGATGATGATCCTCAAAACTTTCCATCTCTCCTTTTTTGTCCTTTTTTAAGACAGTGCTTAAAACTGATCTCTGATTTAGTTTTCGATGTGCTAACATAATATTTCCTCCTTTGACTGTGTCAAAACATGTTTGTAATTGCCCCTGTGCAACACTTTGGGATATCTTTAAGGATTTCATATTAATACACACTATGTTATATTAATTGAAAATTGACTCACTGGGAGAAAAAGAAAGGTTTTCTCATTTATCAGTTGTTGGAATTTTACACTTGACACCATGCAAATGTTGGAATTGTTGGACATTGCTGTCTTGTTTCTATAGAGTTCATTGATGCCAAGTGTCTGAAAGTGTATGAATATGAGAATATAATCAAACTTTTTTTTGCAAAACTACTTTTTGTTATGTCATTTTGTTTTCAGGCCTGGCTAGCAGTACAGATAATATTTATACACAAACAGATGTAATGTGTGTTTACATCTATGAAAACCAGCGTTGGAATCCTGTTACAGGATACAGTAGTCGGTATGAAACAAATTTAAAATATATCAGCAGAAAGCTTTCGTACTGAATTCCTGTTAGAATGTTGACTCTTGACAAATATTTATTTAAAACTTAAGGTTTATTGCCCTCTGACTCTCCTTTATCCAACTTGCTTGTTACCTCCTCAAAGAATTCTAACAGATTTGTCAAGCATGATCTCCCTGTGATGGAAGTTGTGCTGACTCAGCCCATTTTATCATGCACTTCCAAGTATTCTGCAATTTCATCCTTAATAATGGACTCCAAATCTTAACAACGACCAAAGTCAGGCCAACTGGCTGATAATTTCCAGTCTTTTGCCTCCCTCTCTTCTTGAACAGAATTGTTACATTAGCCATTTTCCAGTCTTCTGGGACCCTCCCCGATTCAGTGATTCCTGAAAGATTACTTCCAATTCCTCCACAATCTCAGCTATCTCCTTCAAAACCAGGTCTGGGTGATTTAACCACTTTCAGACCTTTCAATTGCCAGCACCTTCTCCTTAGTGGTGGCCACTACACTCACCTCTGCCCCTGACTCTCTTGAACTTCTGGTATGCTACTAATGTCTTCCAGTGTGAAGACTGATGCAAAGGACCTATTGAGTTCCTCTGCTAATTCTTTGTTTCCTTTTACTACCTCTCGAGGCTCATTTCCAGTGGTCCAATGTCCACACTTGCCTCTCTCTTACCTTTTATATATCTAAAAATACTTTTGCAATTCACCCTTTTATGGCTTTTTTAGTTGTCCTCTGCTGGTTTTTAAAGGCTTCTCAATCCTCTGGGTTCCCAGTAATCTTCATCACATTGTATGCTTTTACTTTTGCTTTTATGCTGTGCCTGATTTGCCTTGTCAGCGATAGTTGTCTCATCCTGCCGTTAGTATGTTTCTTCTTTCTTGGGATGAATTTCTGCTGTGCCTCCTGAATTAGCTCCAAAAATTCCTGCAATTTGCTGATTCACTGTCTTCTCTTCTGCATTCACCTTCCAATCAACTCTGGCCAGCTTCTCACTCATGTATTTGTAGTTACCTTTACTCAATTGTAATGCCATTACATTGAAAGGTGCCAGACAGGAGGCTGCTAAATGAAATAACAGCCCATAATGTTAAAGAAAAGGTACTGGCATTGGTAAAGGATTAGTTGACTGTCAGAAGGCAGAGAGTCAGGATAAAAGGGTCTTTTTCAGGATGGCAGCTGGTGATAAGTGGAGTTCCACAGGGATCATTGTTCGGACCACGACTATTCACGCCATACATTAACAATTTGGATGAAGGAACTGAGAGCACTGTTGCTGAGTTTGTAGATGACACAAAGATAAGTAGAGGGACAGGTAATGTTGAGGAGGTGGGAGGCTGCAGAAGGACCTGATCAGTCTTGGAGAGTGGGCAAGATGTGACAAATGGAATGCAATGTGGGAAAGTGTGAGATTATGCGCTTTTGTAGGAAGAATAGAGGCATGGACAATTTCTTTAATAGGGAAAGGTTTCAGAAATCTGAAGCACTGTGGGACTTAGAAGTCTTAGTTCAGGGTTCTTTTAAGGTTAAAATGCAGGTTTAATTGGCAGATAGGAAGGCAAATACAATGTTAGCACTCATTTCAAGAGGGCTAGAATATAAGAGCTGTGATGTACTGCTGAGGTTGTACAACGGCATTTGGAATATTGTGAGCTGATTTAGGCTTCGTGCTGGCCTTGGAGAGGGTCCAGAGGAGATTTACAAGAATGATTCCGGGGATGAAGGACTAGTGACATAAGGAGCAGTTGAGGACTCTGGGTCTATACTTGATGGAGTTTAGAAGAATGGGGGTGGATTTCATTGAAACTTGCAGAATACTGAGTGGTTTGGATAAAGTGGACATGGACATTTCCATTAGAAGGAGAGGCTAGGACCCAAGGGCAGATTCTCAGAATTAAGGGACAACCCTTTAGAAATGAGATGAGGAGGCATTTCTTTAGCCACATGTTGGTGAATTTGTGGAACTCATTGCCAGACAAGGCTGTGGAGGCCAATTTATTAAGTGTCTTTAGGACAGAGATAGATCGGTTCTTGATTAATAAGGGAATCAAAGGTTGCAGGAAGAAGGTAAGAGAATGGAGTTGAGAAATATGTCAATCGTGATCAAATGGTAGAGCAGACACAGTGGGCCAAATGGCCTAATTCTGCTGCTATATATTGTGGTCTTCTGGGCTTTGGAGAATCTGTATTGGTATCATGATTTTCACCATATTGAGCATTCCCAAATGCATTACAGCTAATTAAGTATTTAAATAGTATTATTGTAATATAGGAAATGTAGCAGCCAATTTGTGCACAGCCAAGACCCACAAACAGCAATGCAATAACAACCAGCTAACTTGTTTTAGTTATAGTTTGAACAATGGTCATGGCACTGGAAACATTTCTGTGCTGTAATCTAAATGGTAGCAGTGGGACATTGCTTATAAATGACCAGAATTGATGTTACAATGTGTGTTTTTGAGCTGAAAATATCTTGAACAACACAAAATAATCAGGAAAAATTGAACAGGCTAGACACTTGTCTCTGGTAAAAAGTAGACCGAGTGTTGACCTGATAGAGAACTTGAATATTATGAAAGATTTTGACAGTGTAAACATTGAGATTTTATTGGGGAGACCAGAAGAGCAGGACATAAATATAATGTAATCGCAATAAATCTTTTAAGGAATTTAGGTGAAGCTTGTTTATCTAGGATATGGTGAGAATTTGGAAGCCACTGCAACAGGGAAGATTTGACTTGAATAGCATGTCTACATTTAGTTTGAGCGAGAGGAACACGAGGGAGAAAGGAATGGAAGGATATGCTAATAAAGTGAGTGGAGGCTTGTGTGCTCCATAAACAGCTGGAACATAATAGACTTATTCTGTACTGAAGATTATTATCAGAATCTTCCCTGGGTGGTGGCAGGAAAATGTCACTTATTCTGATTTTCATGGCAGCACAAGCCTCCTGTCCAATTAAGGATGGCAGGCAGGCAGGCTCTTGAAATGAACGGCTTTCCATCTTGAGAGAAGCAACAGGCTTCAAGATGGAGGCATCTTCTCCCTAACTTCACATTTAAATTTAAAGAAAGTAGGGAGCTATTCTACAGAGTTTCCCATGCCTACATCTGTATGCAGGAAGGCCTCACGGTCTGCCTGGAGCATTGTCCCCTCCCGACAAGCCTGCTGCCTGGAGCCCACCTCCAGAGTCCTAAACTGGTTCTGCTACTGCTGGAACCTAGAGACCATGTGGAAAATCCCAGCTGGCCTCCTTTAATTGGTTTTAATCAATTTAGCCCTTTAAAAGTCACTTATCTGGCTTGCTGCTCCTAATCGTATTTCTGCAAAAAAGATCCTGAGATAAGTTCGATCCTGAGAACCATAATTACAACCGGTAGCACTGTCCTTGGCTCTTTTTCAATCTCCACTGAATCCTGAATAGGAGTCGAGAGAGTTCAGCCCCATTTATAATTTTGTATAATGGATAATGTTTTAATGAAGTCACTGTGATAGAAGGATATATGTTACTATCAGCGACACTAAAACTCCTCTCTTACAGGAGACTGCCAACCGACAGGTATATGTGGAGCGATGCATCAGGTCTGCAAGAATGTACCAAAGCACACACCAAACCTCCTTCACAGTGGACCTGGGTATGTAGGTTTCTCCTTGTATCTTAATACAGATTATACTCTATTGTTGTTGTTTCACATCTTATACAGAGTGGAAGAAGAAAGATTTTCATTCATATAGCTTCCTTTCATGACTTCAGGAGGTCCCAAGGAACATTATAGCCAATGCAGTCACTGCTAATGTAAGTAACATGGCAGTCAATTTGTTCACATTAAAAGCTCACAAATAGCGTTGACATAATGAATAGATTATCTGTATTAGTATTGTTGTCCGAAAGATGAAGACTGGTCAGAACACAGAATAACTGTTTTCCTGTTCTTTGAAATAGAAGCCATAGAATCTTTACGCCCAGCTAAGAGGGCCACTTCTTCATTTTGCACACATTTAAACTATGTCACATGTACTTTTATTATAATCTGAACTCAGGGTAATTAACATGCTTCATTCACATATAAGCACTTTGTATTACTTGTGTTTATTTTCAGGAACGCATAAGCACAGGTGATGTCTTTTCATCTGTTGAAACATTTGAAACCATTGTGAAAATTTTTAAGCAATGATTAGAAGCCACAGGGCTGTCTTCTCAGTTTCTTTGTATGCTTGCCCTCTCCTTTTGACATCCTGTTCTTGATGGAGGGGACAGTGGTATAGTGGTAATGTTACTGGACTAGTAATCTGAAGATTAAAAACAGAAAGTGGTGAAGAAATTTAGCAGATCTGGCAGCACCTGTGCATTCCTTAAAAAAAGTGTTGTATTGGACCTGAGACAATAACTCAGCATCCACAGTACTTTATTTTTATTGAAGTAATCCAGAGATCCAATTTAGTAGCCTGCGGTCATGGGTTCAAATCTCACCACTGCAGGTAGTAGAATTTAAATTCAGTTAATTAAATCTGAACATGAATGCCAATCTCAGTAATGGCAACCATGAAACCATCATCGATAGTCATAAAAGCCCATCTGTTTGCTAATGTCCTTTAGAGAATCTGTCATCTTTTCACGTGTTCTGACCTACATGTGACTCCAGACCCACAGCAATGTAGTTTACTCTTAATTTCCTCTGTAATGGCTTAACAGGCCTCTCAGTTCAAGGGCAATTAGGATTGGGCAATGAATACTGACCTTGCAAGTAATCCCCATATCCCATCAAGAAATTAAAGAAAACATGGACTTGAGATCCTGCTACCTAGTCTAACTAGATAGTCTTCATGTGTCTGTCTGAACTTCACATCATTTCTACTTTTCTGCCTACCTTGATTCATGTGGGATCTTTTGATGCTGAGCTGAGAGCTTATCTAACTGTAGGGAAGTCACAACCAAGTTGAAAAGTGAACATTTTTTTTGGGTACATAATCCATCATCAGAACTGAAGACTGGGAAATAAAAACAGATTTTAGTAAAACGGAGAGAAAAGGACTGGAGCCACATGAACAAAAATAAAATTAAGAGCTGGTCACAGAGAGAGAGAAAAAAATGTGTGGAATGATCTGCAAATTCACAGAATTTCAATTGACTTTGCCAAGGAGCAAATCAGAAATCTGGACTGAATCTTACGCTTTAATTGTGTTATGTTCTTTTGAGGGTTTATCACTGTAAAGTATAGCAAGTTCTCTTTCCATAACTTACCAAACTTGCCACATTAATTACCTTGCATGTCCCTGTCCAGTCTCTCACGTCCGATTCCTGTCCTGGTTTATCAAGGGCTTTCCAAGAACAACTTGCTACTTGGTGGATATCCTGGAATTCACCAACATGCCTTGTGACAATGCCATCTTTAAAAGTCCATAGTGCTTGTCCAGGTGCACAATCAATCCAGACTTGCCCTGTACAGTTCCTGACACTTATCCTGCGCATGGTAGAAAAGGGAAAATTGACATCCCACTTTGTGGGCAGAGACCTGGAGGTACTGCTGGACAGTGTGGCGCAGTGGTGGGACTTTGTCTTTCCCCAGGACCAGCAGTAGAAGCCACAAAACTAGACAATGCCAGCCTGGTCTAAGGATGTCATCTACATTAAAGTAGTCTTGATTGTCTTGAAGAATGCCCAGCACTGTATGAAGAAGGTCAATGTCCTTCTCCATCTCAACAGCATGGTACCACCATCTTCTCTCCAGTACCTCATTTACTCTACCTCTGCTACTTTATTCACCTCACACTAAGAATCTTACTATACCACTCTCACTGTAGCCTGCAACATGTTACCCTACTCAGTGTTATCCAACTCAGTTCTCAACACCATTAACCCTGCGTGCTCTCATTGCTACCTGCTCTCTTGCGTGGGATACTCTCTGCACCTGCACCAGCAGTAAGAGCTGTGCCACCTAGTTTTATCTCCTTTAACATCTACCTCTCATTCCAGGAGGAAAACAGCCCACCATTGGGCAGAAAGAGTCAAGACAGATGGTGAGCTGCCTGTCATTTGACTCCTCACCTCTTATGAGGAGAGGATCCTGAATGTGACTGCCCTGAGCAGCGCCTGGACTGGTAACAGAGGCTGCATTTGACTTATTCTGCCAGGAATCTCAGAGAAGCCTATTCCCATTGACTGAGGCCTGCTGTGACTAGTTTCCTGGCTTTTTTCTGTTCTCAATGGCATCTATCTTTGACTGAAGGAACGGACTGTAAAAAGGCAAGCTATTGCAATGCAGGGATGCTATGAGCATCCAAGTAAACCCAGAATGAGTGAATGCTGTGAGAGAAAATGAAGAGTCTGGAGATGCAGCCTGGTCCAGTCCATGAGCTGGACGTGTATCCCTTAGTGCATAGTTTTCCTGCTGCAGCATTACAATGATAATTGCCTTACAGCATTGAAACCAGTACAGCACTGAAATGCAGAAGCATCCTGTAAGTAGATCAGAGTAAGTGTGCCATGAGAACTCTTGAAGGATGCTAATGTCCAAGGATGTGGGATGCATTTGGCTGGTGTCCGTGGAGTGTGCCCTGACATGTTGGTTTCCAACATAGAAATGATTCAGAGCAACCAGCGAGCTGAATGTGCCAGGTGTGTGCTGTCATTTCCGTGCTGAGTCTTTCTCAACGTCTAGCTTGTTTAGCAAGTTTGGTAAGATGGGAGGCTGAGTAGTGCAGTTTATATTGTGTTTAACAAGAGTTATACCTCATCAATTAGCATCTCATTGCTGCCTAGTGAGGGTCCTGCCACGCCGCTTGTGAAAAGCGTAAAAGACAGGGCAAAATGATCTCAACTTTGAGGTGGATCTAACCACACTTGTTGCCCAATTCTATCACACATTTTGCTGTAGCCCACTTCACTCAGACCTGTATAAAACTCTGCCCCCAGACTTCTTATTTTTCTTCCTTCACTTTCAACTGTTCTTCTTAGCTGAGAGAAGTTGTTATTCACTGAATATTGAGTCCCACTCAAATCTACTGGGCCAGCTGTTTCAACCACACTCAATTGTAGTGTTGAGAGGACAGCGGTAGTAGCCTGTCCCTTCTTGCATAAATTTAAATTTACGTAGTATGTAAATAAAGCACAAGTTTTAAATTTTGCTAATAATGAATGTCGGTGATAATTTATCCCATTTGATATAAAGTCTAGTTATGTGAAACATTCAGCTCTGTAAAATGAGCACATACTGTTCAGAAACAAGCACAGCGAATTCTGGAGAAACTGAGCAGGACTGACAGCTCCTGTGGACAGAGATACAAAGTTAGCTCCAGCTCTGAAGAAGAGTCATACCTAATTCAAAGTGTTAACTCTGTTTCACTCTCCACAGATGCTGCCAGACCTGCTCAGTTTCTCTAGCATTCTGTGCTTGTTTCAGACTTCCAGCATCTGCAGTATTTTGCTTTTATTTCACACTGTTTAGAGTAATTTAGCAGGAACTTAACTTGTTTTCAAAGCTATGATTCAACAAAAAAATGTTCTATCAAGATTTTGCCTGCAATGGTTTCCCTATCTTTATTACCTCTCCCAGCTCTATAGCCCTCCATGATCTCAATTCTGCTGCGGTTCTGGGCTCTTGCATAACCCGGAGTTCCTTTGATCCACCATGTTCTCACCTTGTCACCTTGCTCCTTAAAACATGCCAGTTGGGCATGTCACCTGTGCTAATACCCCTTTATGTCAATGTCTAATTTTGTTTAATAACACTCCCATGAAGAACCTTAGGATGTTTTACTGCATTAGAGGCACTATATGAAGTTAAGTTAATTCTGTAATTGTTGACAGATAACAGATGGTGGCAGCAGAAAACAGCACAGCAAAAGAAGAATATGGAGAAACCTCCCATGCTGTTTGATTTTAAGTTTGAATTCATCATTTTCAAGTTAGCCGCTAAAAGATTAAGTCTCATCCATTGAGAAAAGCTCTGGACTTATAGACACTGTGTAGATACCTTTTTTTTTTCCTTTGAAATCATGTTAAAATAATACGTTTGTTTCTTCACTGGCAGGTTTCTGATTGGTACATTGATTTCAATGCGCCAGGAGGAACTGATCGGGAAGGATGGCAATTTGCAGCTGACTTTCCTGCGTAAGTACTTAAATGCAGCAACAATTAGAATTGCATTTTATTTATGGCGTTGGTGATTTCTTAACTTGCACAGTGTCCACTGTTGAGGTATGTTAGGGTGAGTCTCCTGTCTGAATGTAACTCTGTGTTGCTCACACTTGGTGGACAGGCAACCCCAAGTAAAAATGCCTAAAGTTTAGAGTGAGCTACCATGATGTTTCACAGTAGCTACAGCATAAGAGGATCACTCCATCTCCTTTTAAACCCCCAAACAGACTTAAAACTAGAGCACTGTGTATAGTTCTGAGTATAGCACTGTATGTAGTATGTATGCGCTAACCTTGGAAGGATTGTAATGTCAAGTCAAAAGAATATTACCAGAGCCTGAGAAGTTTAATTGAGAGAAGGGATTAAATAATCTGTGCTTATATTCCCTGAATAATAAAGGATTTAATTGTGATTTGATTGAGATTTATAGAATTTGAAAGGAATTGTTATATGGTTCCATTGGTGAGAGAGTCAAGGATAAGAGACATAGTCTTAGAAACATACAAACTAGGAGCAGGAGTAGACCATTTGGCCCTGCTACACCATTCAATATGATTATGGTATGATCTTCTATCTCCATGCCATATTCTTACTTTCTTCCCATATACCTTGGTGTCTTTAAATCTAAGACGTTATCAATATTTTTCTTGAATAAGTTCAGTGACTTGGTGTCTACAGCCTTCTATGGTGGGGAATTCCCATTTTACCACCCTCTGAGTGAAGAAACTTTTCCTCATTTCAATCCTAAATCTTCTACTCCCATATCCCGAGACTGTGTACCCGGCTCTAGAATCACCAACGAAGGAAAACATCCTCCCTGCAACTAGTTAGAATTTTATACATTTTAATCAGATCCCCTTTCATCCTTCTAAACTCAAATGAATACAGGCCCAGTTGAACTAATGTCTCCTCATACGACAATTTTGTTATCCCTGGTATCAGCTTAGTAATCCTCTGCTGCACTTCCTTATTGCAAGATGAACCTTTCTCAGGTAGAGAGATCAACAGCTCATGCAATACTCCAAATGTGGTTTCACCAAGGCCCTGTTTGTCTGCAGTAAGACATCCCTACTCCTGAACTCAAATCCTCTTAAAATGAATGTCAAGACACCACTTGCCTTCTGAATTGGTGCTGCACCTGTCTGTTTTGTTGCAATAACCAGTGTTCAAGGACATTCAGATTCCTTTGTACATCCACGCTTCCCAATATATCGCCATTTAAATAATACCCTTCCTTTCTGTTTTTCACAACCAGTGTATAACATCACATTGAGCCACATTGTACTGCATCTGCAATATGTTTGCCTACTCACTCAACTTATCTAAATCAACTTGAAGCTTCCTTGCATCCTCCTCCCCACTCACAATCCTGCCCAGTTTTGTGCCATTTGCAGACTTGGAAATATTGCATTTGGTTGCCTCATACAGGTTACATTTATATGTATCGTGAATAGCAGGGCCTATAAACTGATCATGTAGCACCCCATTCGTCGCTGTCTGCCACTTGAGAAAAGACCTATTTATTCCCACTCTCTGGTTCCTGTCTGAAAACCAGTTTTCAATCCATGGTAATATATTACCCCTCTATCCCATGTGCTTTAGCTTTGTCCACTAGCCTCTCATGGGGGACCTTGTCAAAAGCCTTCTGAAAATCCAAATACACCACGTGCACTGTTCTCCCTCATCAGTTGTATTAGTTACATCCTGGAAAAATCTCCAAAGGACCCCACACAAGATTGTTAATTAATCCTCTCATTGTACAGTACTCAATCTAGGATAGCCTGTTCTCTGATTAGTTCCTCAATGTATTGGTCTAAAAAAAAATCGAGTACACACTGCAGGAAATCCTTCTCGACAATAGCATTGGTAGTTTATTTTGTCCAATCTATATACAAATTAAAGTCATCCATGATTACAGTACCCTTACAGTACTGCATGCATCTCTGAATTCTTGTTTGATACCTTCCCTTACATATTCACTACTTTTTGGGGATCTATTGACAACTTCCAATGACATTTTCTGCCCTTTGTGTTTCTTAGCTCCACACATCCAGGTTCCATATCATGATTTTCTGAGCCAATAATCACTTCACTATTGCATTGATTTTATCCTTTACTAATAACACTACCCAATCTGCTTTCCCTTTTATCAATCCCTCCTAAATATTGAATACTATTGAATCCCATCCTTGGTAATCCAGCAGTCATGTCTCTGAAATCACAACTATATGGTAGCCACTTATGTCTATTTATGTTACTAATTCACCTACTTTATTGTGCATATTTTACATATTAAGACACAAAGCCTTTAGACTTGTCTTTTTAACATTGTTAGTCATCTTGGCTTTATTTTGCACCACGGCTGATTTGTTTGCTGCCTTTTCTTTTTGCCTGCCAATTTTTCTTCTGACCTATCTGCCTTCTGTTTCTAACCTGTTTTACCCTCGTTGGGTTCTCATCCACCTGCCATTCTAGTTTCAACCTACTAAAATCAATAACTCTCATATTCATTTCAAACCTATGATCAATAGATTTTTTTTTTCTTTTTCTTCTAAGCATATTCAGGGATAGTGGATGGAAGTAAATCAGCCATGAATGACAGAACAGGTTCAAGATTCTGAACACTCCATTGAGTCATAGAGTCATACAGCACGGTAACAGACACTTCGGTTCAACCGTTCCATGCCGAACATAATCCCAAACTAAACTAGTCCAACCTGCCTGCTCCTGGCCCATATCCCTCCAAACCTTTCCTATTCATATGTCCATCCAAATGTGTTTTAAAATTTGTAGACATCCACCACTCCAATCTTGTAATAAGTAGATTTAATAACACAGCACAGTCATCAGGCCATCACACTTCATCAAAGGAAATTTACACTCTATCAGAACCATGCGCTGAATCACCTTTTTTGCTTGATGCCATAAATGGCAGGATGAAGTAGAGAAATGTTCTTCAGCAAGGACATGCCTCACTTGATAGAGTTCACACAATGCAGCGAGGATTGGATTTTTAAATAGTCCTTTGTGCTGACATAATTCTCATCTAAAATTAAATGAATTTCATTAAAGTTTTCTCTTACATTTTTAAATTTTACTGTGAGATGTAGTGCATGACTACAGGGGATTAATTAAATGTTCTTAAGTTGCAAGATGTATGTATCTTGTTCAAAATCTGAGCATGTAGCCATGTCCATTAACACAAAGGATGATTATCAGTGCAACTTTTGATTTCTGATGCCAACGTATAAAAAAATCTTTTCACTTATTTCAGGGATGCTTTGATTTTTTTTACAATTACTGTTTTACATCATCCAAGTTTCATCTGTGAGATTTTTAAAGAGTTCAAGTGTGAAATGAGTTTTTAACTGTGAGATGTGATGTCTTTTCAGCTCTTACCATGGTTATAAGACGATAAAAGATTTTGTGCGACGCAGACGATGGGCAAGGTAAAGATTGTAATTGAAAGGCTTTTTTACATTAATGTTGTAATTATTTTATTTGACAAAAAAGATGTTGTCTTGACCAGATTGAATTTTTCTATTGCAAAGTATTACCTGTACTTTTTGTTCTTTTCATTTTCTGTAGAAAATGCAAAATAGTTACGACAGGTCCCTGGTTTGAGGTTGGACCTGTTGCACTCCGGGACATTTCACTGATCCCATGTGTATCACAGAAGGCAGATGATGCATCGGCATTGTGGGCTGTTAGCAGCAAAGGAGACGTCTTGTGTAGACTGGGAATAACTAAGCAAAATGCACTAGTAAGAAAATGCATTTTAGCCTACAGTTCATTACAAGCAAATCTCTCTTGTTTATCACAGTACAGTTTATTTAAAATTTGACTTCAATGGATAATCTGATGTACATAGGAACACAGGTCATTCAACCAGTCATGTTTTCTCTACCATTTAATACAATTGTAGCTGATCAAACGCTTCAATGCCTTTTACCTTCACAATTCCCGCAAGCCTCTTTGCCATTGATAATCAAAATTTATCAATCTCTTACTTTAAGTATACTCAAAGAATCAGCTTTTACATCCCTCTGGGATAAAACAATCCAAAGATTTACCTTGAGGAAAAAGAGTTCTCTTCATCTTGGTTCTTATTTTAACTGTGTCACCTGTTTCTAGACTCACCCACCAAGGGAAACACCTTACTTGAATCTATCCTGTCTATCCCTTACGGTATTTTGTAAGGTTTCAATCAGATTACCTCTCATTTTTCAAAACTCTAAAGAATACAGACTTTGTTTGCCCAATCTTTCTTCATAGAACAATCCTGCCATTCCAGGAAAAAGTCTGGTAAATTTTTGTTGTATTCCCTCTGGGTGCAGTAATATCTGTCCTGAGGTAAGGGGGCCAAAACTGCACACAGTACTCCAAAAAGCAGTCTAACCAAGCTCCTATGCAATTGAAAAAAGACTTAACCACTCCTTTAGTTAAGTTTCTTGCAACAAAGGCTAATATTCCATTAACCTTCCTTATAGCTTGCTGCACCTGAATGTTTGCCTTTAGTAACTAACTGACAAGAACACATAAGAACCTTTAAACATGTATACTGTCCAACCTCTCACTATTTAAGAAAAAGTTTACACCTATCCTTCCTACCAAAGTGAATAACCTTCTAATTTTCTACATTATATTCCTGCTTAGCTTTGTATCATCTGCAAATTTGGAAGTATTACGTTTGGTCATCGTGTCCAAATCATATTGTGAACAACTGGGGCCCCAGTACTGACATTGTGCACCAATGCAAGAATGACCTGTTTATTCTTCTCCTTCCTATCTGTAGCTAATTCTTAATCCATGCGAGTATATTACCTATCGTACCATGTTCTTAAATTTTGCAAATCAACCTTCTTTGGAGGATTTTCTAAAAAGCTGTGTGAAAATCCAAATGTAATACATTCTTCAACTCCCTTTATCAATTTTCCTTGAAACATGCTTAAAAATCAACAAAGTTGTCAAATACATTTCCTATTTGCAAATCTATACTTACTATGCCTAATCAGATTATTTTTAGCAAAGTGCCCATTTATCACATCCATTATGATATATGGTAGCATTTTTTCTACTACTGATATAAGGCTGAGGGGTCTGTAGTTTCCTGGTGTATCCCCTTGCTTCTTTCTTAAATAGTGGGGTGACATTCGAAAACTTCCAATCTGCAGGAATCATTCCAGAACCTATGGAATTTTTGAATATCTTCATCCCACCTCCATCAACAGTCCTGGGTATAGATTATCAGGTGTTGCAGTCTTACTCATTTTTAACCCCATTACTTTCTCCAGTGCAGTCTTCTTACGAATATCTAATTGCCTTCCTCTCTCTTCATTCTCCCTAGTCACTTGGATCTATAATTCTGGGTGATTTATTTCATCTTTCTCCATGAAAATAGACACAAAGTAGTCATTCAATCTGTCATTTCTCTATCATCTATCATAAATTCTCTTGAATCTGCTTTTAATTTGTCTTTGTCAAATGGTTTCTTTTTACAAACAAAAACAGAAATCGCTGGAAAAACTCAGCAGGTTTAGCAGCATCTGTGGAGAGAAAGCAGAGTCAACATTTTGGGTCCAGTGACTCTTCAGACCCATTCTGAAGAAGAGTCACTGCACCGGAAACATTGGTGCTGCTTTCTCTCCACAGATGCTGCAAACCTGCTGAGTTTCTCCAGCAATTGCTGTTTTTGTTTCTGATTTCCAACATCCGCAGTTCTCTCAGTTTTTTTTGTTTAGTGTTTCCTTTTTACTTGCCTTTTAGCACATTTTTACAGTCCATTTTTATGTTATTTACTAGATTGTATTAATATTCTATTCTTCCTTTCCTTATCAATTTCTTGGCCTTCCTTTGCTGTATTTTAAAATCTTCCCAGTCGTCAGCTTTATTACCAGTTCTGGCCACTTCATAAACATTTTCTTTCAACCTTCTATAATCCTTAATTTTCTTTCTCAGACACAGTTTATTGACCTTTTTTTGAGTTTTTGCACCTTTAAGGAATACTTATTTGAAATCCTCAAATGACTTGTGTCGATCATGTTCAAAAGAGGAAGCAAACGTGGAAGTGTTAAAGCCAATGTGCCTTTTCTGCCTTTGACTATGTTGAATCCACTGTACTGTGGATCTTGCCCACAATGGCATTTCATCACTGGAGGCAAGGACTTGGAAAATTACTGTTGCTCATGCCCCACAACAAATAGTTTTAGCTGAACTGGGGAGTATCTAACCATATTTCCTACATTGCTCATCCAACCAGTTTCCTTCCTCAACACAAGCCTCCCAAGTAAATAAACCAAAACACTGCAAAACCACATTTGATCATTGCTATATGAACATCCATGAACTTTAATCCCACTGCTAATTCATTATTCAACGAGCAATTTAATTTTTTTTAATATGCTAATTGAAGCATTTTAACTGGAGATTATTCCATTTAACTACTGCTGTTTGCATGGGAATACACTTCCCCTTTGCATTTATGAAACATTGGATTGCAGGTTTCAGGACATCTCAAAGGGATTCACGCGCAAAAATTTTTGTAAAGCATAATCACTGCTATTATATAGGCAAGTGCAACAGCCATTTTTGCAAGCTAAGCTCCCACAAACAGCAATGAGCTCAACTGTTTTTAGTCATGTTGGTATATAAAGAAAGTCATCTTGCATTTATAGAACACCTTTCTTGAAGTCAGGACATCAAAGTGTTCTACAGCCAATGTTCCACTTTTAAAGTGTAGTCATTTTTGTTGAAAACTCATCAAGCTCCCATAAATAGCAATATGACAATAACCAAATGAACTGTTTTAATGATGTTGGTTGAGTGATAAATATTGGTCAGATCACGTGAGATCACTCCACCTCTTCATATAGTACCATGGGAGCTTATACGACTACTTGAGTTAACAGGTTTAACATCTCTTCTGAAAGGTGGCACATCCACTAATGCAGCAGTCTCTAAGTAACTGTATGGTCATGATAGAGTCAGCCTGGATTTTGCTCCGTTTGCTTCAGTGGGCCATAAACCAATGACTTTCTGACCAGGATATAAGTGATACCATGGTTACTTGCCTAGCCATTCACTTATTGAATGAATTAGGAGCATCTGTATGTAAATGGATTTGTGCAAAACAATGAATAGAATATCATAGTAAATTAACTTTCTTTTCAGGGTGTTTCATGGCTGCACATTGGTACAGATCAACCATTTGTATCAGTCTCTATCGGTGGCTATTACCAGGTTTGGGCCATTGCCAGGGATGGAGCAGCTTTCTACCGTGGTTCTGTCTCCCCACAAAATTGTACAGGTAAATCAATATCTCGGGAGCTAAAATCCTACAAAGTGGTCATTCTTATTTGAAGAATCTGAGCTTTATGGCATCCAGATTCCTGATACAGTCAGATTTGTTTTTAGGTATGTGACATCCTTTTTTTTCAAACTTGCACATAACAAAGTTTATGTTTAAGGTAACGGTGTAATTGAAACCTACTATAATTCTCATTTTTTGGAATTCTATTGACAAGCGGTGTAATATTATCCTTTTTCTTGTTTTCAACAATGGTTTAGTGAGTAGCACTTTCAGTCAGAACATTGTGGATTCAAATCCCACTTCGGTGACTTGAACACAATTATGCTGACACTCCCAGCGCAATACTGTGGGTGTGCTGTGTGGCAGAGGTTCCATCTTTCAGATGGGATGCTATATTGAAGCTCCGACTGCCATCATGATCCACTGTTTTGAAGAAGGACAGAAGAGTTTGTCTAGGTGTCCGGGGCCAATATTTATCTTCCAAAGACTCACCAAAGAAGATTATCTGTTCGTTGTCAAATTGTGGAAGTTTGCTGTGCGTAAATTGATTGTCACACTTCCTACGTTGCACAATGGCTAAACTCAGAACATTTAATTGACTGTAAAGTGCTTTAAGATAACCAGAGGCTATGAAAGATGCTAAATTGGTGCAAGTCTGTCTTTCTGTACAGGTGACTGTTGGTACCACATTCCACCCCCTTCCAAACAGAAGCTGATACAAGTGTCTGTGGGCCAGACATCTGTTTATACAGTGGATGAAAATGGTAAACTGTCATGTTTTACATGAACGTTCATTCTAATGAAAGGGCAATAGCAATAAAGCTATTATATTGTTTATTGTTTAGTAATATGACTAGTATGTAGACATTTGAAATGTGAATCTGCTGATCTTGGACTAACAAGGCAGAGGTCAAGTTCAAATTCCATCGTGTGAAATAGCAATTTTTTTCTAAATTGTCTTATATATTGCCATAAAAAGAGAAAGTTCTAGAAATACTCTGCAGGGCTGGCAGTGTTAGTGGAAAGAGGAATAGGATTAATATTTCAGGTCAATTACACTTCATCAGAATTGAGAAAAGTTGGAGATCAGCATTGTGTCAATAGGAGAATAACCAAAAGGAAAGGTCTGTGATTAGGCAGAAGGCAGGGATTATTAAATGATGAAAGGAATTAAAGACCATGTAAATCCAAAGGGTGTGATACTGGAACAAGTAAAGAACAAAAGATGATTCCAGACAAGGCATAAATGGTAATAACAGAATCATTAGCAACATCTGCTGTCCCAAAAAAAATGGAGCAGTGGTTATGACCTTAAGTTGTTGAACTCAATAATGAGATTATAAAATACCTGATCAAAAGATTAAGTGCCATCCCTCAATACTGCATTGACCTGATACATTAATAAACTGGCATCTTGAAAACTGCCAAATTATTGGAAAAACCCAGCCTAATATCCTTGTCACTTCTGTCCTTCAGGAAATGGAGTCTGCCACCTTGTCCCAGATCTAAACCATAAGTGATTTCAGTCCTGTCCATTAGTTAGTGAACTTTCATTGAACAATATCTTGCATTTATGTAGCACATTTAACATAGTTAAATGATCCAAGGTACATCTAAGAAATAGTGTCAGACAAGGTTTGAAACCATGGCAAACAAGAAAATAGAAAACCAGTGACAGACTCTGAAAGCTGCCTCACTATTGTCACATCCCCTTAAATAAAGAAAAACTATGTTAAGGAGAGTTATTAGCCAGATTTAAGTTAATTGACAAAAAAGCAGAGGAAACATTAGTTTACACAGTGATTTGTTGTGATGTAGAATGAGTTGCCGGAAAAATGGTAAAAGCAGACCCAACAATTATGTTCAAAAAGGAACTGCACTTGAAGGAAAAAGATATGTTACAGGGTTTTTAAACTTAGGAGCAGGAATAGTCCATTTGTGACCACTCCACCATCCAATTAGATCATAGCATTTTTCTACACTGTCTCCATATCACCTGATATCATTAATTTCCAGAAATATATCAAATTCTGTCTTGAATATACTCAATTACTGAATCTCCAAATCCCACTGGGATGTAAAATTCCAAAGATTCATTTCCCTCTGACTAAAGAAATTCCTCCTCATCTCAGTCCTAAATGGCCTACTTTTTATTTTGAGGCTGTGTCCCCTGGTTCCAGATGCCCAGTAGGGGAAACATGGTATCTGTTCAGTAGAATCTTGTAGGAAAAGAAAAGAAAGAAAGTGGGAATGATTGGCTCTTCCAAAGAGCCAGCACAGATAACTATGATCTGATTAAACTTCTTCTAAGCCATAGCTTACTATAGTCATATGCTTTTGATGATATTTGTTAAAGATAAAAAAATAGAGCTGTACTGTTTAAAAAGGACAGTTCTGAGCTCTAGCTTATCTTGGTTTCAGATAGCTGCATAAAGCACTGCTCACTGTATTCATCATTGTCACAAGTCATGTTATGAAAGAAGGTGTAAAATTTCCTTTGTCTGTAATACATGAGGCCATTTTATGTCAGACCTAAAATCTATTTCTTTGCATTAGTTTGATAATTGGTGGTAACTCCTGCGACTGCTCCAGTATTTCAGAGGTCAGTGATTATGTTGTGCTATATGTTGCCCTCAACACTGCAATTGTTCCCCGGATGGACATTAACATCAGATAGAAAAGTCATTTTGAGAAAGCATAGCATGACAGAATGATACATTACAGGAGGCTTTTCAGTCCATCATGTCTATGCTAGCTCTTTGAAAGCCTTATCCAATTAATTTAACTCCCCAGTGTTTCCCCATGGACATGCAAATTATTCCCTTCAAATATTTATCTGTTTCCCCTTTGAATGTAACTGAATCTATTTCCACCACCCTTTCAGACAGTTATATAAATAATTTGCTGTAAGTTAGGGAGAATTAGAAAAGGATCAGTAGAAAATATTTTTAATTAATCTATTTACAAGACAAAGATTTTACTGAACATGATTATTTTGTAGGTGAAGAATTGAGTATTCCTAAATATTGCTGCTTTTGTTTTTAGGTAATTTATGGTTTCGCCAAGGTATTTCTCCAAGTTACCCTCAAGGATCGTGCTGGCAGCATGTTTCTACTAACGTTCGTAAAGTGTCTGTAGGTCCTCTTGATCAGGTTAGTACTTGGTTATGTGTAACCTCAGTTGACATTGTTTATATTTCATACTAGGAGCAGAATTCATTTAACCTCAGAAAATGCTGGAAAACATTCCACAGGTCAGACAGGAGAGAAAAACAACGTTAACTTTTCAAGCTGATGGCTTTTCATTGGATCAGGGCGAAATGTTCTGATGAAACATCTCGGACTTGAACTGATTACATGGAATTACATTGTCCAAGGGATGGGACATCTGCCAGACAAGTGTGTTGGCAGTGCAGGAAATGAGGTTCCGAGACAGCAAGTGAGTCAAAGCAGAAGACAAGGCTCAGTCCTTCCCAAGCAAGTACCTGGTCACCTGAAGGATCTCATTCAAGACAGCAGAATAGGCTTCCAAATTCATGAGCTGTGCAACTGAAGAAGAGAGGGAGGGAGAGGTGAGATTGGGAAGAAGTATATGCAACTGGGGGGTGGGGTGGGGGCGGTGGAGAGGGAGTGATTGAGAGAAGCAGAAAGAGGAATGATTGAGGGAAGCAGAGAGAGGGGAGACAGTCAGAGTGAGAAGGAGGGAGAGGGAGCAGGGGAAGGCAGAAAGGAATAGTGTCTTATGGAGCTAGGGAAGGAGGGAATGTGGAAGAGTGCAGGAAAGGAAGATAGTGTGTGAACCCTGAGACTGAGCCTTCCCTCATCCTACCATCCTCTCGCTCTTCTTCATTTATTTCTCCTCCTCCATCCCCCTGCATCTTCTCATTCCTCCTCCTCTTGCTCATTTATCAAAAGCATCTATGCAAAGCAGCCTGGAAGGCAACCTGCTTCCCATTCCCATTCCCACATTCACATGAATTCTGAGGCCAATTTGGAGTATGCACCCACAAGGCATGAAAGCAAGATCAGTGTTAATTAGGCTTTAGCTAGTCCCCTATCCTTTCCCCTTTCCCTCCCACTCCCCTGGTGAACAAGACTTTGGACATCATCTGTCTCTCTTTTAGCTCTGCTTTTTAAACATAAAGGCAAAACAATTATACATCTCTGCAGCAAAGCACTTTTTAAAGGCCAATTTAACGGTTTACTCATTTAAATTATCAATCTTTTGATTGGAATTCTTTTCTGAAATTCATATACACTGTTGAGCCAAACCGTATCATTACTCACTGGCCCCCAGAATGAGAGAAAAGTTAAAAATATGTCCTCCCTCACCATGCAAAAATGTTAGACAAGCCTGATCTAACCTCCTCAGCATATCTTTCTCCTTTTGCGTTCATTTAGCTTCCTCTCAAATACATCTTTGCTTTTCACTTCCCCCACTAGTAAGTTCCACATTCTCGCCATTCTATGGTTATAGAGGTGTCTCCTAAATTCCCTATTGGATTATCAATTTTCTGTTTATAGCCTCAAGTTTTGACCTCCTGCATAGGTGAAAATAATTTCTCTTTCAAAAATGATAAAACTTCAAATCAGTCACCTCTCAGTCATTTCTTTCTGGTGAAAGGAGCTATAGGATGTTCAATCATTCCTGGTTGTTGTAAGCTCACAGTTCCAGAATCACACTTCAACAACTTTTTAATACTTTCTCCATCTTTTTGTTATGTGGAGACCACAGTTCTTGAAGTTAACATGTTTCTTTGTATGTAGTTGCTGCTGATGTGTTGAGCTTTTCCAACATTTTCTGTTTTAAGTTCAGATTTGGTATCCAGCATATTTTACTTCATTCTTTGCTTCCTCATTTATCGTGAACGTTTTGATTGCAAGGAGGTCAACTTCAATCACATTTTTGGCAATATTCCAGAGTACCTGACACTTTTTTGTATGTTTCTGCCAACTCCAAACTGTTAACTTTACATCAGCCAAAACATAAACCTTTTTCACCCACAGTGGTACAATACTAAAGTCTGTTAAGACACATACAACCTTTTTGTGCTTTCAGAAGATAATGAGTAAGGTCTTTCTGCAGACAGCTCTGAACCTCTGCATCAGTAGAAGAAAATAGAACTCTAAGAGTCTGCTGTGTCATAATCATCTGTTTTCTAGGAATACTGAGTTTAGCCCAGGTGTACAAGGTGGATGTGCATTATGTTTCGACTTCTATAACTTGCTTAAACCACTTTCTCAGCTTGACAGAACTCATTGCTAACTAGGGGAGGTCTTATAAGTAAACATCCTACTAGTTCAGTTCTCTCTGGACCGTCTCTGTAATCTCCTCCTGCTATGCACATCTCTGAGATACCTCAGAACCTTCAATTCTGACTTTTTGCACATTGGCTTTCTTTCCTAATAAAAATTTGACATCAGTTAGCTCAGTTGGCAGAATGATGGTTTGTGTTACAGTGCGATGCGAACAGCCCAGGTTCAATTGCCATACCGAGGTCAATATGAAGGCCTCGCCTTCTCAACCTTGCCCCTTACCTGAGGCGTGGTGACCCTCAGCTTAAACCACTCTCGGTCGGCTCTCTAATGAGAAGACATCCCTATACTCCTCTGGGACTATGGTGACTTTAGTGTCCTAATATATCTCCATATGCGATTTTCTGACAAATTCTGTTTGACGAGCTAAGGATATTTGGCTCCATTAAAGATGCTATATAAATACGAGTTGTTGTTGCCTGGATTTTTTTGACACGCAGACATTTTAACATGGATTGCAGAATAGATAGACCTGTCTCATCTTTTTGATTAACTAATTTCAGTGCCATGTTTTCAAGGTCGTCATACCCCCTCTCCAACATCACTGTTTTGAAATGTTAAATAAATGATTAATTTATTCAATATCTTAAATTTGGATTTTGAAACATCACCCAAGTTGCTCAGGATATTGTATGATCTTTAAATTATGTAGAATTAAACTGATCTTATTTCTCCAGATGTTTAGCATTCCCTAAACAACTTTTTAGCAATAATTATTGGGAATGTAGACATTGTTGGCATTTCTATTTACTCCCAAAAAGGGATGGTAAGATGCCTTCTTGAACCAATAAAACTTAATGGCAAGCTAGATCAATGAGAGTCAAGCACACTGGTGAGGACCAGAGTCAGATATAGCTCCAGACCTGGTTAAGGACAGTGAGTTTCCTTCTCTAAAGGACTAAAGGAATTCTTATAATTTGCACTGGTCTATTTTATACATCTAATTTTCACTTCCTGTACTTTAAGGAATGTTCTGTTGATATAGGGTATTACAATGATGATGATGTAGTTTAGCATGGATTGTTAAGGAATAGATTTTCAAAGTAAAACTCTTTGCGTCCAGATCACCAAGTCACCCACTTGACCTTTTGAACCTTCTATCAGTTGCCTTATAATGACTCAATAACTAATCAGAAGAACATTCCCAAACAGAATCTCTTCGTATCTCAGAATCTTAAAGGATAGCCACCAGAACCCCCTTCACCTCTTCCTATTCTTTCTTAAGAGAGCAGAATTGCAAAGGATTTTTTTCTGTGAATATCATCATCTGGACTTTTAGGAAGCTGTTGAACAGAAAGATGTAAATTCAAAGGTCATCTTGAACTGCACCAAGAATGCTCATGTAATTCTACAATAATATTCACAGTGTCCCCTTTCTTGGACATGTGCCCTGGAAAAAATTTAAAGGTATAAGGATCAAAAAACACATTGACTTTGCAAGGTAAATATCATTCTCAGGAGAAAGTGAAAAAGGGGTTTTTAATGGCTGAGTTAAAGAATATATAGAACCTATTTTAACTCATTCAAAACCAATTCGTTTAGGCAGAATTAAAACTGATCCCTATGCTTATGGAGCAAATAATATTTCAATTACAGGCATATAGCTTGCTCTTGTACTGAATAATGAGAACAGTGATGTTACTGTGTGGTTTGAGTTATTAGTCTGTTCTGTCAGGTCTTTCTAAATCTCCTCACGATGCATAAAATGAATGTCTAATATAGTTCAATCTTCATATTCTGCATTTAGAGCTTCAATGAATGGAATCTTATTTAACACCTTCTAACAGAAAGACATGGGTGTACGTATATAGAATTTACTGAACTTTTCAGTTAACAGAGTATACATTCGCTCCCAGTCCAGTATCATCTCAATTTTAAAATTCTCATTCTCATTCTTTTCAAATCCTTCTATATCTCACTCCTGCCATTGTCTCACCTTTCTCCATCTTTCTGTAACCACTTAAAATATCTCTACACTCTTCCAATTCTGATCTGTTGAACATATCTGATCTTAATTGCCCGAGCATTAGACAGTTTATTCGTCTGTCAAATCCTCAGCTCTTAAATACCATCCTCGAATCCCTTTTTCGTCTTCAACCTGTACTTTTTCAACCAAAAGTTTGATCACCTAGCCCAATATCTCTCTCTATAGTTTGGCAACAGATTTTGTATGTTAATCATTCCTGTGAAACCAGGGGTCATTTTCCTATTAAGGTGCTATTTAGATGCAAGTTGTTATTGATATGCTACTTAAAGAGCTAGCACTGCTGACTGACAGTTGATTCTGATCAATGTAACCAACAGTACATATACTATTGTGTCTGATGCAGGTTTGGATAGTTGCTGATAAAGTTCAGGGCAGCCATAGCTTGAGTTGTGGCACGGTGTGTCGTCGAATGGGTGTCCAACCACGAGAGCCCACTGGTAGCAGTTGGGACTACGGCATTGGAGTAAGTGAACAAGTTGTAATTGTCATGGGAGTAATTAATATGTCATCATAATTAAGGCACATATCTGGGACATTTCCTTTTAGCATGATGTTTGATTAGATATACAAGTTTCTGTTATTCAGTCCAGAAATATACTAGAAGCCTTGAGGTCCATGATATTAATTTTAATTAGTTTTTCAGGAGTTTAAGCAGTTGAGATCTATTAATGAAGTCCCTTTTATAAACCTAGTATTAAGATTGTTAAAGAATCTCTTTACCCATTTATCATAATTTTCTAATTTCTTTTTAAATGTTAGATTGGAGCTTTTAAAATATCTCCTGAATTTACCTATCAGCAACTACTTTACTGTAAAATATGCACCTTCATTTCATATTTGCCTCATGCTATTGTTCAAAATGAGTTTGGCAAAACTTTGAGAACTGAAATTGAGCTCATTAACATTCTGCCATTCCATACTCCCATTCTTTGAATTGTTGAATTTTAGTATTGTTACCAATTAATCATTATTTTTAATTGGTCCCCAAGGTTTATGAGGATTTATTTGGGAAGGTGTGGGCCCCTTACTGATTTCCCCTTTCACCTGTTGACACCAAAGGTCTTACTTCCAAAGTAAAATATTTACAAAGAAGCTGAATCAATAGTATCTTTCAAAAAGGGGATTGGTAAATATTTGAAAACGTTTTGCAGACCTATAGCAAAAGGGTAGAGGTTGGAGGCTGGAAGTATTGAGATAACTCTTTCAACAAAGAACCAGCAAAGGCATGATGACCCAAATGGCCTCTTTCTGTAAGAGCCTATACAAAATGTTTGAAAACACCACAATTTTAATTCATCGAAAGAATATAGCAAAGTTAATTATCCTTAACTATGTATAATTTAAGTTTGAATTGCACGCTGTGAATTATGTCCTATTAAGATAACATGAAATTCTCTTTTCAAAGGGTGGTTGGGATCATATTACAATCAGAGCAAACTCTATGGAATCTTCTCATAATCTTGTTCCTATGGCATCTGATAATACATCAATGAATTTGCCTAACCAAGATGGAACTGTCAGTGATAACTCCAGAAGCAGTTTAATAGTCGATGAACAACAGGAACTTAATGGAAGTGCTGTTAACTGCTGACAATTTATACTATAACTGTTGTATATTCTGTTTGGCGGTGTTGTCAGTTTGGTACTGATCTTCCCTAATCATCTCAGACTATTTCCTTTTTTAAGTAAGTAGAATATTCTTGTAATGTTTCTCCATTAGCAGTTCTTAGCTGTTACTCCAGTTCTCACAAGGTTCTCACTTTGTGTGAAATTCAGTACCAGTGCAGTTTCCTCAAACTGTACAATGCTTAAATGTTCAAAATCCAACTCAATATGTTGGGTTCCACCCTACTGTCATGTTGATCAGACTGTGTTATATCTGCAACTCAGTATTTCTCCAGGATCAAAAGCCCAACAATGCATTAATCCACTATGTTTTCAGGACAGAGTGTCCCATAATGGATGAGGCAGTTGTTCTGTTAACATCATCACACTGACATGTATGGGACAACTCAACACCTGCTGTAAATCTTTAAAACCTAATAAAGGGCTAAGTCCTTGACTCAGGACTTCACAAACCAGAGTGGGTTGAGAGATGGGAACTGGTCCTATTGTGGAAAGGCGTGCACATCCAGGGTCTGTGCTGTGCAACCACTGTCAGCTCTTTAAAAGAAATTAAATAGACGTTGAGTTACCATGTGCTGTTTGTTTCAGGTAGCATTCTGATTGAATGTGTAGTGTATTGATTCTGGATGAGTGTCATTGATGTTGGCTGTGGTATGATGGTGGATGGTACATGTGTCATGGTGCATCATATACTGCATTGGTGTAGCTTTTGATGTTGTTATATGTTTGACTTAGCAATGTTTTAGCCAAAGTCATCAGATTACCTTTGTAACAGAGGGGTTGAGATAAAGAGAAGTGAGGGAGATTTATGTGCAAACTGGACTAAATAGTCTATTTCTGCGCTTTATATTCTGAGTTATTCTGTGACATTAATTATCCACTAATACTGAAAATTCTGATGCTCATCATTAAATTGACTTGATAATATTACCAGTGATAGGCCAACTGCAAACTAAAATCAGATATGGTTTCCTAAATTAAACATGTTCAACTTGGAGAAACAATATCAAATGCTGTTCTATCAATCTAGTGTCATTTAGAATGGAATTCAGTAAGTTATTAGACTATGTCTTTTTGTAAAAAAAAAAAAAAAGCTGGTGATTGATTGGCTAAAGTTTTATCCTGTGGTGTCTCCCCGTCCCTGCCAACTCACCCACAATTTTATAGCACAGGTTGCAAAGCAGTTTGTACTACATTAAAAATTCACTGCCATGTGTTGATCCCTGTTTTAGCAATTTTTTTTCTGATCCCATAGATTCTTACATTATCCCTGAACTACCTGAGAGTCAATGCCACCTTTAACTATTTGATTGAACTCAAAAACCATTGGTTATAAAAACGAGTTGTCTTGATACTAGCTAGCAGTGAGATGATGGGGTGATGACTGGACTGTGATGGAAAGTTCCTACAGAAAAATTACCGTTGTTACAATGAGAGATTGGATAGATACATACTCAAATGTTATCTTAATATTTACATGGAATGAACAGCACAGAAATGGGCTGTTCAACCTTACTGGTCTATACCGGTGATTACACTACCCAAGAACCACCACCTATCCCACTTCATCTGAACCTCTACTCCTTTATTCTCACATGTTTATCTAGCTTCACTTTAAATGCATCTGCTATCTGGCTCCATGTAGCAGGTTCCACATTGTCACCACTCTTTAGGTAAAGAAATTTATTTCAAATTCCTATTGGATTTATTAGCATTTTTTTTTTATGTTTTTTCGCTTCCAATAACTGTCTGTCCTGAAGGTTATTAACAACTTGTTGAGTTATGGTTTCATAGTCCTATATCTTAGTTTTATAATTTGCCTGAATTACTCCCTGTCCAATTTTTACACACTGTTCTATTTACAACAGTAACCAAATCTCCCCTCCCCATTAACCCCCCCACTCAATTTAACAACCAGAACTGTTAACACCTGACATCAATTTACACCACCACCCACTTTTCGCTAGCTCCTATAATTCCTCAAATTTATACTCCCCACCAATTTTTGTCTCCTATTTAAAGCTTCCTATTTACAACCTCATTATCCATTTATACCTGTTTCACTAATTACAGGTAGCCCAATTTTGCTTTCCAGTGACTTCAGTTCAATCCAACCAGCTGCCACCTAGTAAAATCACCTCTCACTCTCTGAGCTATTGTGTAACACTTTTCTAGAGTAAGGACTGGAGACTTGTTGCAGGAAAGTATGATCTAGTAGTAGATGGCAAAGCAACAGCAACTGGGAATGTTGGATGTGACATTACTGCTAAATCACAAGTTTGTTCACACAGGATGTTTTATTAATAGTTGGAGGATATTTTAAAATAGTTCATCTCATGGCTTTGAAGTGCCTAAGCACTGTTTGTTAAAAAGGAAGAGAGCAGTGTGGTAGGAACAGCCTGTCCTTTTGAACTACTGATCCATAAACTCTATATTACAGCTGTCAAACCCAATTTGGAAAATAACATGCAGCACATATTGGAAACCTTGAACTTTTCAGTGCATGAAGAAATTAAATCCAGTTAAAACATACTGAAAACAGGACAGGTAAAAGGAACCCTTGCATAGTCACAGGGAGTGTCTGCTGTGGTGCATACCACCATGTTTGAGAATGTACTAGTGGAAAAGCCATGTTCCAATCAGTACTTCAGCATGGCATGTTTCACAATTTGAATCTTTAATGAATAATCTACATTAACTTCTGCTGTACTGAATGTCTTAGCCACGTTGACTCAGGAGCAATGCACAGCTTTGATAATATACTTCAACTCAAATCCGATGTTATTTTAATTTCTCAGTCCTCCTATGGTATGTTCTTCTTAAATATTCAGTCTCATTAGTGACAGACCTTTTTTATTGTTATTACGGATTTTCACATTTAAAGCTGAAGATTAGGCTCTTATCACACCTTCAACAATATGACTGTTCATTCTGGTTCTACCAAACCCTAACGCTTTTCTTTAAAATGAATGAGGTCCTGTGAAAAGAGAATAGATTACAATTCTTAATCAGCATCCTCTGCATGTCACTCAGACAAATTCACAATACCAGTAAGGAAAGGCAATGAATACTTCAGCTGAGAGATCAAATCAAGGCCTTGTCTGTCGTCTACCCATGTTAAAGGCTCCATAACCACTAACTCAAAAAAAAAATTATGGGTGTTTTGTATCATTCTGGTCAATACTTATGCCTCATTGGTAAATGTACAAACGATAATGAGGAAACTCCTCCAATCTTACATTCAAGAAAACAAACTTACAATATTAGCTTCTAATGTTTGAGTCCGGAATGTTCACCAACTAATCGATACCTGGGATGGCAGCACGGACATGAGGAGAGATTGAATCAGTTAGGATTGGATTCACTGAAGTTTAGAAGAATGAGGGAGGATCTCATAGAAACCTATAAAATGCTAACAGGACTAGACAGGTTAGATGCAGTAAGGATGCTCCGAATTTTGGGGGCGTCCAGAACTAGGGGTCATAGTTTAAAGATAAAAGGTAAACCTATTAGGACTGAGATGAGGAGAAATTTCTTCGTGCAGAATGGTGAGCCAGTGGAAGTCACTAACCGTAGAAAGTGGTTGAGGCCAAAACGTTTTCAAAGAAGAGGTGAATATAGCTCTTGTGGCTGAAGGTTCTGAGGGAAGATGGGATTAGGGTATCGAGCTCAATGATCAGCCAAGACCATAATGAATGGCAGAGCAGGTTCGAGGGGTCGAATGTCCTACTCCTGCTCCCATCCTCCGTGTTTCCATTTCTCAGAGTATCTTCAGTATTCTTGAGGCGTTGTCACCTCAACTCTTATTCATACCCAAGTCATTGATCGGTTTCTCTTGGGATTTTGTTTCAACACTGCCATTTTTTTCAGGAGCTCTGGTTATCGGGGCAACAAAATGTGATGTTCATAAATCTTTAGGACTTTGAATTATTATCTGGTCATTTACTTCAGCATTGCCTGAGTCCCCATTTGTTGTTGAATCCTCCATTTTCAGATTAGCAGCGCTATCCAACATTTAGTGATGTAGGATAATGTGCTTTGTCAGAGGCTGCTCCTTTTGAACAACTAGTGTTATTTTTCATTCGTTTGATCCTGTATTTAGATGGGATAGTGTTCTTTACCCATATTTGGCTGTGGAAGAACTGTCTCTGAGATTATCCCCTCTGTCAGTAAAATCACACACTTTCACTGGAGAGGTCTATTATAACAGTTGGTTCATCCTGCAAATCTGCTTGTTGGATGAATGTGAGCTGACAGATGGATTTTTTTTCTCTGCTGTTGTGGTAGCAGGGTTTAGAGAGTGGGTAGTAGTGAATAGAATGGTTAAACATTGTTTTTATCTGTTCTTTATGGTGAAAGAAAGCTACACAAAGCCAACTATAGAGAATATAATTGTACACTTCTTAGTTAGACCTCTCTTCTCTGACATAATGCTGTTTAATTGATTCCAAAGATATATGGAACATGTGAATACTTACACAAGTTACTTGCATGATTACTCAAAGTTGCATTCCTTGGAAGCTAGAAGACTGAGGGAAGATTTGATAGAGGTTTTCAAGATAGTAAAAGGCTATACTCACAAACTATTTTCATTGGTTGGGGAAGTCTCAAACTAGAAGACGTAGCCTTAAAAATTAGAGCCAAATCCTTCAGAAGTAAAGTAAAAATATACTTTTTACACAAATTGGAGTAGAAGTTTGGAACTTTTTCAAATATCAGTTATTTTGGTGTAATTGTAAATTCTAACTGAGATTGATAGATTTTTCTAACCAAAAGTATTAAGACATTTAGGGCTAATTTACAGAACAGCTGCAATCGCATTGTATGACAGAATAGATTCCAGGAGCCAAGAGGTCTCCTCCTGTTCTCTGTTCATTTCAAAGAGCAGGTGTTCTCTGCAGACCATATGTATATCTTTGCTTTGAATGGAAAAGTGTTGTATATAGTTAAGTGCTGATTATTGCTCAGAAGATATTTACCACTGTGTTAGTTGTTGTTCTTCCCTGCGAGACCAAGGAAAAAAGAATGATATCCAGGTAGAATGTGTTCTTTTTAAACACCGTCAAAGAAAAGGTGTCAGGATCCAACCTTTAATGTGCTTTTAGAGGCTGTTGCCTTTGACGTTCTTCTTGTTGGCATCTCTAGCTTATCCAAGTAATATGTGCAGGATATACTTGATGGATGAAGGCATAGGTGTATTTCAAAGAAAACTAGATAAGAGTTAGAAACTGAATAATATGTTGATAAACTGGTCTAATAGCTGGTTTCTTTGCTGTAAGGCAAACCTTTGGGAAGTTAGTGATCTTTAAATATCTGAGAGCTAGAACAATTAACCAATGTTAGGATCTATTACCATTCATACAAGAAATTTGAAAATCATGTTATGAGGTTTTGATAACTGTGTGAAGTTTGATTAAATTCCTTTATTAAGAGTTTATTCTACACACATTCTCTGACCTTCACTAATAAAGGTATCTTTTATGTTATGGACTTCACAAGCTTCTAAATCTCCCCTCCCCCGACCGCATCCCAAAACCAGCCCAGCTCGTCCCCGCCTCCCTAACCATTCCTCCTACCCACTAACCTCATCCCGCCTCCTTGACCTGTCCCCTCCCTAACTCCCCACCTACATTCACCTTTTACTGGCTCCAACCCCGCCTCTTTGACCTGTTCGTCTCCTCTCCACCTATCTTCTCCTTTATCCATCTTCTATCCACCTCCCCCTCTCTCCCTATTTATTTCAGAATCCCCTTCCCCTCCCCCATTTCTGAAGAAGGGTCTCGACCCGAAACGTCAGCTTTCCTGCTCCTCTGATGCTGCTTGGCCTGCTGTGTTCATCCAGCTCTACACCTTGTTATCTTTTATGTTGTTTTTTATTTATGACGTACAGCTGCATTATCTTTACCACATTTTGTAAAAGATGAGTGTCTTAAGAATAATGTGAAATAGTAGGACCAATTCATTTTCTGTGCATCTTTTGGTTACATGCATCTTCTCTAAGTAGCATCATAATTTATTTAATATTGTATCTCTACATGCTTTTGGTGATTAGTTTGTGTTTGAAAATATTTGATTGGCTTACCAGTGCTTTCGGTCATTTTGTGAAAAAAAAATATATTCATAACCTAAAAGCAGAATGTTAGCTGGACAGTTTTGTCCATTCGGTGTATTTCAGTGGATATAATCAGCCAGAACACAAAACCTTTTTGATTTTAAATCTTGAGAATACCATTTTAATGGCAAATTCATTCTCTTCCCTGAGCCATGTAAATAAATGAAATGCTAGAGAAAGTTTGAAAAATAATCACTTGTTAAGAGGTTACACGGGTCTTGATGGTGTTAAATATATATATTAAATCATGTGTAGCAAATTTAAATTGTTAGAAAGTTCAGTTTTATGTGTTATCTACATTTTGAAGTAATTTTAAATTCCTTGTGATATAAGTGGATACTTTTGCTGTAAAAGACATGGTGTAAATGTATTACTCAATGTACTGAATGTAATGCAGTGTTACAGAGCTTTACCAGAACATGATACAATGTATCTATTTTCTGCTGTGTGCACTAATACTGTGTGTCATTTTTTAAACTTTGTTCACAGCAGAAACCTGACATATCCAATTACGGGAAATGTTCATGCAAATCAATTCCATTCGTAAATGCTTTATGGAACTTCATGAGTTCAGCAACATTACCATGATGGTGCTCATCCACCACTCAATGTAGCCCTAAATCTGAATTCACACAGTGATAATCCCGTGTTTTTTTTTCCCCTAAATACCTAATGGAAATGTGTTTCAGCAAGAAATCTGACTTGAAGAGTTCTTCTGACATGGTGTTCATAAATTTTGATTACCTGCTTAGATAAGTGCATAGCGACTGAAAGGATAGAATAGGAAAATGTTGGCTATTTGACAAGTTACTTTTTTTAAAATTCATTCAAGTGAATGTCATTGGCAAGTCAAGAATTTACTGCCCATCCCAATTGCCCAACAAGGTCATGGTTAGCCAATTTCTTGAATTGCTGTCGTCAGTCTGGTATTCGTACACTCGGTACTTACCTCAGTCTGGTTGGCACAACTGTGGGGCTTGCTGGACCACTTCAGCATATAGTTAAGAATCAACCCCATTGCTTTTAGCTTGGAGTCACAAATTATCCAGATTTTCTCCCTGAAGGTCTTCAGGTAAAGTCATGATCATAACTGGCAATTAATAAATCTGCAATAAAAGTTTAAACTTTATTAAATTGAAATTCCCTCAGCTATCATGGTGGAATTTGAGCTCATGTCTCTAGGTTATTAGATCAATACTATTACCATTGTGAAACTGCTGTCCCAATAATATCAGAATGATGATAGACTTATTGATAATTTCATTCTTATAATGACAATGAGTTTGCAAGCGGTTATTGTACGCAATCCTACATGTTCAATTCATTTGGATGCAACTTGTAATATAGTGTCATTGGAATAATGCTTTGGAATAAGGGTAAGTACATTTCTGCCAGATACAAGTGAAGCACCATTAATGGAAAACGTTCCAGTCCAGTCTTTGCAGATAGTTTAGTTTTTCAAATCCCATCCTCCAACCCCAATGCATATTGCCTCTGGGGAGGTGATGGCCTAGGGTGTGGTGATGGCTGGACTGTTAATCCAGAGACCGAGGTAATGTTCTGAGGACTCTGGTTTGAATCCTGCCATGGCAGTTGGAGGAATTTAAATTCAACAAAAATCTAGAATTAAAGAGTCTGATGATGACAATGAAACTATTGTTGATTGTTGGGAAAAACCCATCTGGTTCACTAATGCCCTTTAGGGAAGGAAACTGCCATCCTTACCTGGTCTTCACTACCAGTGATTCCAGACTCCTAGCAATGTGGCTGACTTTTAACTGCCCTCTGGGCTATTAGGGATGGCAGTAAATATTGGCCTAGACAGTGATGCCCTCATCCTGTGAATAAATTTAAAAAAGGGAGAAGGAATGTGTTAAATCAGATAATGTACAAAGCACATACTTTGGAGAGCTACTGAAAGCTCTGAGACACAATCCATACATTTAACTGGGCTGAATAACCTAATTTTGCTCCTATAGCTTATGGTTTTATTACCCTGTGCTTGCCGCTCTACTTTGATATCTTCTCGAACATCTCAAATTTAAAATTCTTATCCTCATTTCAAGCCAATTGCTCTAATGTTCCTCCAGTCATCAGATTTCTCAGCTCGTTAATTCTGACTTTTGCACATCCTAATTTTCATTGTCGCAACAACAAAGGCCATGTTTCAGGCCATGAGCACTGAAATTTCTTCCCAAACCTCAGGCCTCTTTATCCCATTCAAACTATTCTTCAAAAACCTAGCTCCAAAATCTGCCCTATCTCCAAATAGCTCAAATGTTCTCTCAAACTCCTGGGAAGCAATTTGG